AATTTAAATATGCAGATTCCAACGGACATCTCAAATTCTTACATAGTTTCCGCATTATACAAAATATACTGATTTCGTTACTAATTAAGTTGTTAAACGAAGTCAAGAAATTCGTTTTTAATTAAATTTTGTATAATGCGGAAATTATGTAAAAATTTAACATGTCCATTGGAATCTGAAGAATTTATTAATCTCAAGTTTAGTGAATTTTACTCTAATTGGTCAAATCTCTATTACCTATTGATCTAATCTCAATTAAACTTTGAACGTCTCGCGAGATGTCTTATATCAATCGAGTTTTTATCGCGACTTACAATTAGCAAGAGGTTACCAAGTTATGAAATTTAAAGGTCTAACGACGGACACGTGAGAAATGTACTGCAACCTTGGCCCTTGCTATGAAATAAGAACCGGTAAGTTCTCGCGGTACACAGTTCGCTACGATATTTCTTGGCGTATATACCCGTGGATACGTCGGTGCTTTAACTTGAGCCATTTCTCGAGAAGGTTACGCTCCGTTGAGTAACGATTTTTTCACGCTCCGGCGAAAAAATACACGACCAGACGGTCGATCCAATAAATCTCTCGACGCCGACAGTCCTTCGTACTCTTTTAACTTATCCGCGGCTCGCATCCGTATCAATTTGCGGACGACAGCGAATAACGAATACTACGATCTTCCGGACTACTCGGAAGCTATCGGAGAAAAAAAGACGGAATTCTGACCATTAATTTGCGTCAAGTGCGCAACCGTATCCCGTAAACCTGGTTGGAAAAAAAAGATCGCACTGGATCTATCCAGGTTCTTAGCGCGCAGTCCTCGCGACCGGCGTCATGAATTTCACGCGCAAAAGTAATGAAGAACAATGTTGGCCACGTACGCGCGCGAGCCATAAATATTCAGTTGGCCGCGGCGCGCGAACATTTTAACCCTCTGCTGATCACGCGGCGGGGTGTATATTTTGACGTCCAGGATTATATGGTGAGCTGCATTGAGCACAACCGGTCACCGAAGGCTCGATTAAATATTCATACGCCTGGTAATTGCCCGATCTGCGATTCGAAATTGTCTCGACGACAGATGGAGAGGGGAAAGAGAGAAAGAGAGAGAAAAATTAACACATTTCGCGCGGATAACGTGCTCGATATGCTTGTCATCTTTGCGACTCTCAACCGAGAGATCATTACCGTCAAAGTGATCGACGTTTAACGAATCAATTAAATTATGATAATGCTGTTTTTCTCAAACATTTCCCATTACGTTGAATTATCTCAAAAATAGCTTGCCGCCCCGCCGTATTTCACGGTACTATTTTGTTTTCGCAAACAGGTTTGTAAATATGCAGAATGTATAAATATTGACAAATACGTCGAAGAAATCGAAATAATTGCGCACCAATTCGATGCTCCGATATTGTTCAAATCTTTAACGTTTTCTATTAACTGCGAAAGTTGAGGCAATTAATCATAGAATTCAATTTTTAATTTATTTTCAGCTCCATCCGTTTTCATACTTCAAAAAGTTTTAATTGTTAAAAGCCTTTTAATTAAATCACTTTAAATAGTAAAACTGATGCGAACTAACACATATTGATAGCTAACATTTTTACGTTTGTGCCAAGTTAAGCTGAGATAATAACAGAATAGCAAGTGAGAGACATGAGTTAATCAGCGCAGCTTTAAGAGATTGTCATTTCCATATTTGATACATGTCAGTGCAGATATTACTGCCAACAAAAACAAAATATAAAGAGTATAAATTGATCAAGATACGTTTTCAGTTTTAATGAGGTCATCTTCAGCGCACAAAAATCCAATACACTAAAATAAATTCGTTAAAAATTGTATCCACTAACGTATTCGTTTCAACTAAAGATGATGTTTTATTTATTAATGCATTATTATTATTATTGGCACTAACATCTGGTCTTGCTTCGTTAGCCAATTATTTTGAGTTTTAATAACCGCCGACTCTCTTACAAGGATATTGAGAAATTAAGCATTACTTGTTGAAATTTAACGCGCAATGCCCTCCTAAACATTCGAAGAATCCGCGATACTAAAGTTTGTTCACGGCGTACAATACGGTCGCATTCTATTCCGCCACCTAACACCATCATTTCGCTCGCGGTATAAACGAAACGGCGGGAAATAAAACGCCTTTTCAGATCCCTTTATCTCGTTAATCTTGTCACGCTTTACGCCTTCGAGATACAAAGCATAACAGGAGGCGGAAGAGAGAGGCAGAGAGAGAGAGAGAGAGAGCGAAACGGGAGAACGCGATAGAAGAGGTGCTTATTGCACGTTGAATCTTTCCCTGGCTACGAACATACCTACCGTTCAAACTTGGCAGTGTCAAGACCGATAAATAAGACTCGCAATCTTTTCCGCCAGTCAAGGCACAATGGAAGCAAAAAATCGTAAGGCGTATCAGGTGCGAGACAAGATTGCAACAGGGAAACTTACACCTGGTGCGCTTGGAAATTCGACTCCGGTTTACCCCGACGCGGTCAGACGCGGATATTTTCCCGATATTTTTCCGGATTTTCCCCCAACGCTCCCTCGTAAGCGCACACGTTCGCGAGACGAAACAAATGTCGGGCGTATTGACGTATACACCGAATGACTAATTCCTAACTCTCGTGGTTACGAATAAACGAATTTAAAAGAAGGAAGAATGGTGATATATTTTTTAATGATTTTCATTCAATGATGAAAGGTGAAAAAGAGCATTTCGATGAAAGAAAACCGTGCTCCATACAGCTGCGTCCAGAAAAAGATTTAGTTAGGTTGAGCAAATGAGATACGTTGAAATCATGTTTCTTTGAATCCTGCACTAAATTTTATATTTACTTCTACTGAAACATTTGCCAGATTTGAAGAAATAGATGTGAATTGTCTTAGAAATTGCAGTCTCGATAAAATAAAATTTTGGTCAAGGTAACGAAATTGTTTCTTTGAAATTAAATAAAAGTCTAGTAAGGTCAAAATTCAAACAGACTTTTTTCTGGGTGTACCTTTCAGTGGAATGCACGTGGATATAAATTTGATTCTCGCCGGAGAAATATTTATTTCGAATTGAAAAAAATCCGAACAATCGCATCGGTATTTCGCACGGCCGTGCATATTAAAGTGTAGGTTTCTACATTTGTGTTTGGCCGCACGACTGATCTGTACTTTCGCACGCGTTAGGAGTAACTGACGAAGACCGTTGGACGAGCCGCAAAAGAAAAATGAATTACCCCTAATAAGAGCGTTCGCCACGTTCGGGCGGTTCGAACAGCGATGCCTGGACGCGCGATACGTTGCGCGTTGCGTGACCCTGATGCCTATCGGATCAATGACAACGCGCGCGCGAATAACCGCGATAAGGGCCGGCAATGTAAACGGCAATCTCATCCCGCCGGGCAACTCATTAGCGGACTTAATTTAAGACACCACCGTCGGAATTTTAAACACGAGCAACATTGACGCGATTAACGTAATCATCGAGTCCCGGTTCGGCCCGCGGGGCGCGAAAGAAGGGCTAATTAATGACACGGGCGTGTAGTTTATGAAAGCAAAGCATCATCACTCGTCCCCCTTTTTTCCCCGCCGCGATTGTATTACTTTACAAAAGCGCCCGGCATGATTAGAAGGCACGTGTGTGTGCGGAAAGAATTTCGGCAAACGTATCTCGTGCGTCCTGCTTCATTACCGCGCAACGCGTCCGACCACAATTACGGCACGGAACGCTCGGATGTTGGCAATTCGGTTGTAACAAACTTTGTACACAGAATGATCCGGACGTTTTCCCCCTCCTGAAAAATTTCGGCACGCTCACGGTCGATTTTTCCTTGGCGAAAATTGACCGAAACGCCAGGGTATATTACCAGCTTTCGATTTGCGCGACGCGCGTATCTTGGCAATCGTGCTTCAAATTAAACTCCTTTTCAATTAAAATCCTTGAAAACACGGCCGCGAGATACGTAGAAATGAAACATTTTTCAATTAAAAAATAATCGGCACCGTGCCGTACGTGTCGTGTATCTGTGTAACAGAGCTCGTACGTTTAAAGCTACATCTTACGGAAAGAAACAGACGCGGGGAACTGCATTATCGAAGAAATTTCAACATCTCAAAGGCCGTTGCAATTTTAAAGCGGCATACGTGAACCCGCGCCCGACGCGGTTCTTCGGTTATCAATTATTCCTCCAAGTCGATATCGAAGTCACGGCGCCTTTCAGCTCTTCGACATGCAATCGCGGGTCTAGGAAGAACACTCGGTTCTATTAGATCAATTCATTTTAGCTGTGTTTCCTGCTCCGTGCCTCTTCGTAGGAACACAAATATAGAGAATGCAAAATATATTTGTAAAGGGTTACATTTTCGATGTCTGTGTACCGAGGGGTAAACCGTTGTGGGTGTTACTTAGTCTTGCTGGGGCATTAGAAAGAATCTATCAAGTAATGCCCACTGGGCATTAGTAGACATTGGTGTACATCATTTTGGTCAGCGGTTTACCCCTCGCCACGTACTTGTTGGGTCTCCTGGCTTTCGAATAACCCCAGAATGGTCCCGAGATGCAGATATTATTCTTGTTAAGCATACAGAGAGAGAGGGAGAGAGAATGAATCACATTGTATGATTCAAAAAGCGCTCGTTACGGTGAATCACGTGTGACTCACTGGCGGCAAACTTTGCTGCACTCATTACGCATACGAATATTATCGTCGAATTGATCGCGCGTCGCGTGTAACGTTGAAAATTGAAATGGTAACTCGGAGCAACATCGCAATCGTGGCGAGAAGCTCGCGGAAACGTCTGTCTGTCTGTCTGCCTGTCTCTCTCTCTCTCTCTCTTTCGTCGAGCGTCATGGGCCCCACGTGAATTCACCAAGTTTCCCCACGCAGCTGCAACTGCAGCTGTGCGGGTTGAAACGGGGGTGGAGCTGGATCCCGCAGGGTCCACTTGCGCGCCGCGCAATCCTTCCGCAAACTACAATCCGAAATCTTTTGCAGGCGTCGTCGTCGTCGTCGTCGTCGCCCTACGCATGACGTCCCTGCAGATACCGGAGCACGTCGTGCTGAATGAGACGGTGCGCATGCAGTGCAACTTCAACTTGGACAAAGCGCCATTGTACTCCGTGAAGTGGTACAAGGACGGCCACGAATTTTATCGCTATACACCCCGAGACGCGCCCGTGGTGCTAACGTTCCCGGTGCCTGGCGTAAACGTAAACGTGAGTGCGAGTTTGCGAGAGACTGGGGATGTTTAGAATAGCGAGGAATAGAGAGCCCTGACCTTCTCTACCCGATAGCGAGAACAATCAGTCCTCGACAACGTATCCTCTTACGGAGCGTAATATCCTGGCGTTTATATTAATTGGGATATTTGAGATACTTGGTTGGAGTATTTATCGAACAACGAAGAGAGGGAGGGAGAGAGATACGGATTATCGAACCTTGCTCAAATTTAAGCACCATTCATTCCGTCACGTTAATGTTTAATTCGGATTAACGACGAGCGGAGCCACGCGATGCTCGAACGTAACAGCTTTTCTTAATTTCTCCTTTCTCGCGTCTGTGTTTAAATTGGAGGCACAACGAGACACTTTGTATATATCCCTTACGGCGAGGAGCTTTTTGTTCGAATCTGATAGAATCTGGCTCGCTCGCTGCGTCGTGCATCGCGCAGGCTCCAGCGTCACGCTCGATCGGGCGCAGCAGCTTGTAATCGCGAATTTGCATTCAGAGGGACGAGTCCACCGAGAGTTCGGTTGTCTTGAACAACGTGAATCTGACGAGCTCGGGGAGGTATCGATGCGAGGTGTCGGGCGAAGCTCCAGCCTTTGATACAGTCTCTGATCACGGGGACATGACTGTAGTCGGTAAGTATTGTCATGGAAAATAAGAGCGAACGTGTCCCGATTAAGCTGGGATTTTAGCCAAAGTCGCCTCGAGAGGGGCTGGCAGCAGCGCCTCTCCGTTGAGTCGCGCGATCGTATTCAAATGGGGAAAGATCGAAAGTGACTTAAGATACACGGAGGACATTTTTATTCTCGGCGTAAAGCGCGTTGGAGCGCGACAGATTAAACGTAATTTGCGAGAGGGGCGAAACTAGATAAATGAATACGTACAGTAAATGCGCGCGGTGAGATAAGGCGAATCTAATCCGAGGGTACGACAATAGCACTAGAAAGGGTCATGGCAACGTTTCAGTTCTACCTAACGAAGGACCGCAGATAACCGGTGGTCGTTCCAAGTATCAGGTGGGCGATGTCGTTCACATGAACTGCACGTCGGCACCTTCTAAACCACCTGCGCTATTGTCTTGGTTCATCAACGACGAGCCGGTAAGTGAGACACTTAAACCGCCGCGCCGGCGAAATAATTGTAACCTTTGTTTCACGCCTCGCTAAACTTTTCCGCGCGACGCGATGAAATGTGTACTCAAAAAGAGAAGGATGAAAAGAGGGAGGGAGGGTGAGAGAAATGGAGGACGACGGGGTTGCGGTATATGCAATTTGCTAAATAAATCAGAGCTTCGTTCCGCTCTGTTTTCATCACAAAGACGCGTACGCGCGTTGCGCGTGTCCATTCGCGTTAATCTCGAAAAATATTCCTCGATAATGTTCTAATTTAAAATTTATTTTGATAAAACACCAGCGACCGTTACCAATTAAAGGTGAAACGTCGACTGTCTCTCGTGTCAACATTGAATATCGATTTGATATCCATGACGTTTATATATTTTCCATTTATCCGATCCCATTTATGTGTCGTTAATATTTACGGAACTGCGTCTTTTTTTTAGAAAATTCGTTACCGCGTTATATTCCAGCGAAATTTTCCGCCCTGCGGACGCGTAGCTTAACCGAATTAAAGATTAACTTTAAAATAACTTTACCTGCACGGTGCGCGCGTTGCTGATGAATGTTATTATCATTATCGTGCGATAATTAGAATCTTGCTTCGGTGCTTCATGCAATTTCGCGTAATTGGTTTCACGAAAAAAATTTGCATCCGGGATCAAAAGAGCGCAATCTCTCGTTCTTAATTGTTTTCAAATTGCATTCTACAGAATCGCGTATCTGCTTTCCATCTCCCGCGCGCCTAATTGGTGCCGTCGATGCTGCGTAATCCGGGTCGCGCGAGTCTACGGTCCCGAATCAAAATCTACTCAACCGCTCCAACCCGAAATTTCCTCCCCGCCCCGTCTGAGATGATTCGTCGCGAATCCCTCACGCGGAATATGTCCCGGTTCCATTAAAAGCAATCTTTTGCAAGAATCGTCGTAAAGACGCGCCGCCGCTTTCAGGCCAACACCGACTACCTGACAGGGCCCGATATCGTCAACGAGGAGAACGGTCTGGAGACCGCGAGACTCGGTCTGAAATTCCGCGTCGCGAACAAGCACTTCAGGCGAGGCGACATGAAGCTAAAGTGCTTGGCCACAATAGCCACGGTCTATCTACAGAGCAACGAGGAGAGCGTGGAGGGCGACGAGAGCATTCTGAAAACGCCTATAATAGAGAGCCGCGAGACCCGGGCGCAGAGCCACACTCGCGAGGACCTGACGAACGGTAAGCCCCCCCAGCCGCTCTAGGATATCACCCGTTACTTTCCTACCTACACCGCAATTGCGCAACGTTCCCCCGTTATCGATTTACCCACCCGAATGCTGAATTCAACTTTTACCTTGTCTAAAACTTGCCGGCGCCAACTTGAAATCATTAAGGTCCAGTTGCACCGACCTTCATCGTCGCGGGTATAACCGCCTAATTAGCAAGGAATCGCGGCTAGTCCTGTATTATAGTCTCGTTACGAGGAGTAACGTATCTTCTCGATTCAAAAGTTTATTTCCCTCCCGCCGCGCTACTTGCAACGTGCGCCCAGCTCGCCATTTTTTTATAAGCCCATCGCATCGCCGCGATTGCGGTGAATCATCGATTGCAAACAGGGGCGCGGGCGATGAAAAATTCACTTAGGTCAAGCTCTGCGCGCGGAGGGTTAAACCCTTATAAACCCCCAATACTTGAAGCTCGCTAGATTATTCCGCTGTCGGATTTGATATACCAAAAGAGGGGCACGCTCGCGCCAAAATATTACGCCACATTTCAGTTTCCTTTTTCTTTTTACGAGCTTGCTCCGACCGGAAAGCACCGCAGGTGTAGTCTCGCAGTCGCGCATCACGCATGTGCGACGATTAATTCGCCGTATTAGAAGACTTTTACGGCTCTCCGCCGGAAATACATTTCGCGACCTAAACCGAGTGTAAATATGCATATTTTCGACGCGTGCCCGTCGATGGCGGGCTATTTTCAAGTGTTACGATATTCGCGCGAATATTTATATTTGCTTCGCGGTAAACGGTGTTTTTAAATGCGCGACCGGCATTTCCGTAATATCCGAATATTCCCTCCGCGAGAGAGAATTCGTTTCTGGGCATCGAGAAACCCCGGTCGCACAAGTAATGAGGAGTGTCGGATTACGGGCCTAAGTATTAAAACGAATCCCCGTGACCGTACACGCGGCATTAATCAGAACGGGAACTAATTACTCGATGCTCTAATCCGCGATAGTGCTATCGCCCGGGTCCCGCAATAAAAACTGATTAATTACAGCCACACTGCATTCAAATCCCGAGCTAAATTACGGCAAGAACGAGGGCTCGGGCTTCGCGAAATGAATACGTGGGATATAGTTCGGCGTCCGAATTAGCCGTTTAAGGGCTGCATATCGCAAATTCGCTATAATCCTCCGCAAGCCTGTGCCTTACGCGAGTGCATTGTCAACAACTGTATTCCACCGCGCGAGGACCGAGGCGTCTCCCACTTGCGACGCTCTCTTTATCATTTTCCATATTTTTTAACAACTTATCTGCGATCCAATTTCACGACGTCAGAGGAAATTCCGATGTCAAAGCTTGGTCCGAACCGGGATATTTTTACTTTCGCGAACAAAGGCAATTAGCGACTTTTCCAGGGGGGGGGGGAAAAGAGATAATGAAAAGCGAGGCTAACGAAAGTTCGTCTTTAATGTTCCAGGATCGGCAAGTGTCGCAGTCCAATGGACGATCCTCGTCGTAGCCCTGATCACATCGATCGCAGCCGCGCGATAATAACGACGAAGCGTCCTTCTTTTCCTTTCTTTCCTCTCATCCTCTCTTCCTTTTCCACGTCGCTTCCTAATCATGTAAATGTTAGGAGAGATATCGGTTTTCACCCTATCTACTACTATAATTCCTAATCCGCGTAACCGTAAGTAACGCGACATGCATATAATAAGTGTACGTCCATTTAGGCGTCGCCGCGGCGTACGGTGAAGTCTACGAATTAGGCCGAGTCTACAACAGGTGTAGTGAGCCTCAAACCGTAAGGAACTGGACCGATCACGGTCAATCGGTCTCCTTGTGTTCGACCGCGATTGGTCGGCTACACTTATCGTAGATCCGGTTTTACGTGCGCTCTAGGCTCTAAATGTTAATTCTCGTGCCCACGCGCGGGGCAGACGATCCGACCCTCCCCCGCGCGTCCGTTTAGATCGTCCAAAGCGTCTCTCCAGCGGGAAACGCGTCGCGGAAAAGGCGGCGCCTTTTGTATCGCTTTCGAGATACGATTCGATGTTATTCTTACTATGATCTTTACAAAGGGGTTTTCTATTTTCACGACATATCATTTCCATTCATCCGGCGGTCGCGCGTCCTTCGCCGCGATCCTCCCAAAACCGAACGATCCCCTTGGGCCCCCGCAGCTTGGACCCCGCGAATACGCTTTCACCGGAATCGCTGTCGTCCACCCACTTCCCGTAAAACATAATACGTCGTCCACTCCTTCCTATAAAACGTAATATGTTACACAATATATACAAAACTTGCTGTATCTGCCCCGCTTCTCGGCCATTTCCCCGTACGAAAGCAGAGTTATATGATAATAGTAAAACTAGTAGGTCCACTCCCTGTCGGCACAGACCTCTACATACTACTAAAGTCTGTCAGTGACACGCCGATGTGCACACATGCTGCTTTATTCACGTAACAAGACATGGCGGAACTCTTGCCTCACTTTTCAGCTCGAAGGTAGCAGTCTAATAATGTATAGAAGCCCGTATCTGTCGGTTCCTTTGATCTTTGCGGTCCCGATCGCATTCCGCCATGTCTTTGGTCCAAATCCAGCGGCGTATGTGTGTGTGTGTGTGTGTGTGTGTGTGTGTACCAACGACGTATATACACAGACCAAGCATTCTGGTCTGCAGAGTGAAGCCAAAAGTTGGAGACAGAGACAATTGATTTGTGCCTGCTGCTTTCTCACTTTAATAAGCTAGAGTGAAAAGGCAGTAGGCACAAATCAACTATCTCTGTCTCCAGCTTCCGACTTCGCCCGCTCCATAGCAAAAGCATGGGAATGCTTGGTCTATGTATACATGTCGTTGGTGTGTACTCATCAAACTACACTACAGCGCACACACAACTTTTCTCTCATTGGCTGGATCAACAAAATGTCGGGTGCGCAGATCACCGCAAAACGAAGCAATTGACGGAGCGGACCTACCAGTTATACCTACTGTGATAATAGCCACGAGGGCGATCGCGAGCGATTATTTTATGCTCGCACACGGTGCGACAAGTCATTCGTACGATCAATCTCGAGGGAAAGGCGAACACGATGAGAATCTACTCACGCGGGAATTTATTTCGGGAAACGAACAAAATATTTCGATCCGTTAGATTCGTCTAATTTGAAATTAATTTACTCGGATCTCGCGGCAGCAGTTTGTCGAGACGTCGTTGAACTTTCCCTCCTCCCCCCCCCCCCAACCGTTTCCACTTTCCCGACCACTCCTCCGACTGTTTTATTAACCGCGTTACTCCGCGGGTGCACCTCCCTATCTCTATAGTTTCCAGCAGATCCCGGTCGGTATATACAGCTGAATGTCGAACGCCGCTAAGGAAGTGGCATTCTACTGACTGAATAATGTAATATCTCTCGGCATAACGATATCCTACAATACGCACATACGAGAAAAGGCGTCAGGAGGAATGCAACCTCCCCGTGACCCGGCAATCTCTATCAAACGCCATTGTCCCGCCGTGTGGCGTCGCGCAACAATAGGCTCGCGACTTTCTCCCAGCTATCTTTTACAAATGAGTTAAGGGTCTACATTGGAAGCAAGCAGTAAGAATTAAGAGAACCGTAACCTTTGCTTATCAGTGTAGATGCTAAAGTGCAGGCATAATTAAAAAAAAATATTTATAGCGCTGGTCGAACTGCGCTCTAATTCGCCGAGAGTAAGCGTCAGAGCTGAGGTAAGAAATGGAAATGATTCGTTTCTCTACTCGTACTCTTACTTCCTACGCCAGGCTTACGTCATCTATTGTAGACGATCCTTTAAGGATCGACCTACAAGATCGACACACTTAAAAAATTGTAATACCAGCCTTATTTTATAAATCGGAGCCCCCTCCCGTCCCCCGTGGCAGTGCGGTAGATCATAGGCATATCGCGATGCGATTGAGTTGAATCCCGCTCGATGGCCCACGCGAAACGCTTAATCGGGTCGCTGTCGTCCCTCTTCTGACTAATTGTAAGGCATAGTTAATCTCATATCGGGTATACGTCACGCGTACGAAATTACTATCGTATTTTCGATCGATATATTGAAATATCCCCAGCAACGCGAGGCCGAGCGAGCCTAAAGGAGAGGAACCGGACCGCGGGGCCGCCACCACTCAGCCTCGTCTCCCCGACGTGTCGTCGTAATTAATAATAATCCCGTAATTCCAAGCCGGCATCGGACAAACGACATCAACGAGCGCCGCTTGAATCGTCGTTGTTTTTTTCCCCCCGCCTCCTCGTCGCGGAAACACCGAAGCAAGGGAATTACACCAGGCGTTGATCGACTGCGCGAGTACGAATAACGTGACATTTCAATGGATTTGTATTCATATAAAACCAGGTAGAATTGAATTGCCGTCGCGAATCGAGTTTAAAAAAAAAGCGTGCAACTGCTTTAAGCCAAAAAAATTGCATTACTTTTCGCCACGGTACACAAAACTTGGCAAAAATGAAGTTCGTTAAACGTTTACGCGGAATTTTATTTATTTATCTCTCTCTCTTTTTTTTGTCGGCGCGCGTGCGCGCCAACTTACGCTGGAGTCTGGTGTTTCTTTCAAAAGCGAAATATCGTTTTGAAATTTTATCCGACTGTCGATGGCCCGCCGGTGTGCAGTCGATAATACACTGCACTCTAACTTTTATTGAATAATAACTTGGAATTAAGTTCCCCCCCGTCTAGTTATGGCGCACAGCTGCCCGGCGAGCACTATTAGGGTCACTTTATCCATCGCTATGTATCGATTCGAGATGGTTTTATCGCAGCCTCTTGCGCGTAAGCGTGAACGAGAGTCTAATCGCAAAAAAGGAGTATATATATATATACACGTACACACGCGCATACACATACAAATAACGAAATATGAAAGTACATGAAAGTAGCACAAAGACCGGAAAATCACCATCGGCAATCTGCGCGTTATCAACTGTCGGCGCGGATCGATACGCAATTACGCCGGCTGGATACATTTCGATCCTGCAACATATTTTGACTGGAAACGAAACGGCTGTTGCGAGTGCACCGGGCGGTGCACTATATATAGGTATATTATTGCCTTACACGAACAAAAACATAACAAGAAAAATGTTATTGTGATTGAAATTCGTATTACGCGATAGCGAAGCCTATGAAAACGCAGGCTCCGCGAGAGAGTACTCGATGTACTCGGGGAAAAAAAGGGTTACGCGACAGAAAAAAAATAATATGCCCTCGATATGAGCGTCGCTTGATACAATAACCCGTCCTCATCCTCGTCCTCCTCCTTCTGCGCCTCGCTCCGGAGCGAGGAAACGCGCCTCTCGCTCGGAGCGTTTCTCCACGGCGGAAAATACGCGAGACACAGATATTTGACGGAATTCCGTTTTCAACGCGACAAATGGTGTACTTCCCTTGTGAGGCGGATAGGAGATCCGTCGCGCGCTTGCCACGCGCGGCGGGAGAAGAAAGCGTGGAGAAATTGACACATATCTCGAAGAGGACGAAGACCCCCGGCGATTTTTTGGCGCGCCCCGACCTTGACTCCGCGTGGTTTATCCCTGGAAAGAGATGACGAAGGGAATCCCGAATAACGTCGAGAATCGAGGACGAGTGCGGCGAAAAAGTAGTAGCCGGCCCTCACGCATGTTTAAACGACGGATTTCCTCGCGGTTTTTCCCCCCGAGCGTAATTCGGAGCAAGCTCATTCGTCAACTGTATAAGTTGATACAAGTCTCGGCGTCGTGGACACAGGTCTTAACGGACGTGAGACGAGAGTTTACCGACAGTCCGTCAATAAATACAGTTTTTCTAACGTCTTAGGCCCGGTTTCACCAAACGTCGCTCAACTTTAATCTTAGTTCAATTCATGTTCGTCTTTTTCTAGAGTAACAGTTGGAAAAAGACGAAGAACGAATTAAGCTAAGCTTAAAGTTAAGCGACGTTGGTGAAACCGGGCCTTACAAGTCAGCGGAACAAAATGAGCAGAACCAATTGTAATTCATATTTTTATTTGTCGCTCGTTCGTTTGTTGCTAAAGAAGAGAAAAAATGAGAAGAGACTTATTAGAAGAATTGGTTCTACTTATTTTGTTCCGCTAACTCGTGAGGCGTAGCCATACGAGGACAAAGTATCCCTTTTTTCTTTGACTTTTAAGAGCACTCCTCTTTGACAAGTTTACATCTTCTACAAACTTTTACACGATTTCTCGGCGTGAGACAAGACAGCCTGTCTTTGATTTGTGACTCAAAATGGTATCTCGATGTGCAATTTTAATTCGCGACGCGCAGCGACCGGATGGAAAACTGAGGCAAGCCTCGGCTCTTTCCATGATGAAAACGCGAGTCACGTGTCGGGCCTCCGTATTATTATTTCCGAATCCAATGTGAGCACACGGCACTACGATACGCTCAAAGTAGATCCTTCCGATATATTTTTCGTACAGACTCCGAGAGGTAGGTCGCCGTCGCACACAAAACTGCATAGCTACGCGGATACAACTTTTTTTAATTTATCCTGAGAATCATGCAATCGTGGGGCAGCACGGCACTTCCAAGAATTTTATGAGTTTTTCAAATTTTACCATACATTTTACTGGTAGAATGTATGGAAAAATTTCAAACTGTCGTAAAGTTGTTCAAAATGCCACGTTGCCCCACGATTACATTTTTTTTTCGGGGTAAATTTTAGGAGAAAATCCTCTTCGTGTACATACGCCTAAATCAATATGGCGACCCAATGCTCGACGCTCATTGGCTTAGACAGTTCTTATGCTATGCGTATGCAGCTGTGCAATTTTGTGTACGATAAGCCGTACGATACTTTGCGTCGTGCGATTTCGAGCGCGACTCGCGCGGGACATTGCGTTTGTATCCGTTAATCGAGTAGAAAAAGCGCGTTTCATACCAAGTAGTGCGTTAAGGCCCTTAAATGTACGTGTCGTATTACGAGTAAGTGTTTACGAGTCTGTAAATATGTACATAATTTTCATCGTTATTAAAATTATTCACTATTATACGCCGTCGTGTATCGAATATGCACCTCGTCCCGCGGACGCCCCGCTTGCAATTATAATGAAAATATTTATCTGTCCTCATTATTTCCCGCCCATTTGTTCTCTCGCGGCTACAAGATCGCGTCTCAGTTGTAATTATCGCGAGAAATTCGCCAATCAGGCGCACTCCCTACGTTGCGTCGCAAGAAAAGGGAGCGAACACATTTCCGTTTCATATTTTATTACTTCTTTCTGGCAGCCATGTTTCAAGCGACGGGTGAATCCAGTATCGACATAAGATTGGCAGAAATAAAGAAAAAACCAGTCACTTACCTTTTTCCTCGTGTCTGCTCGGCCTGTGATGCTCCGTTCCGTTCGCCTCCGGAAAAATATCCTCCGATGCCACGCCACGCAGACACTCGTTGTTCCGTTCCGGATTCAGGCCGAGGGCAGCAAAATTAGCGATCCAGAAAGTTCTTCTTCCGCTCGTTCCAGCGTCACTTCACTTTCCGAAAGAGACGTCCGCGGCACTGACGCGGCTTTCGAATCGAATAGTCACTTTGGTCCGACGCGTTCGACGGGGAACGCGGCGAGTTATCTCCCGTCGCAAAAACCGTCCACGACGCGGTGATTTTCCACCGGTAACCTCACCCGTCGCGTTATTTCCCGCGCGATGATGCGAGTCGCGCACTTTTCGAATTCGTTGGCGACGCAGTTTGGCCTCGGGCGGCTTCGCGCGACCTCGGCTCGTCTCGGCTCTCGGCGTCATGATCTTTTCAGAAATCCAAAATGGAATCTTCGATATGCCGAGGTCGAAAATGGTATTTTCGGAGAAGAATGCCGCGACGGATTCTCCAATTCAGATTCAACACGCGTCTGACAAAGAACGACGAGGCCGCTCATCGTCCGATTTCGTATCGATGCCTGCGCTTTTCACACTAATTTCCGCACGACACACGCGTCGCGCATACTTTCCGAGTCCGTTCGCGACACTTCGGGCGGCTTTTCTACACTCCTCGCGGATCTTGTGAGTGCACTCTAGTAGCTCGGGCGCCCCTTCAGCTTTGACCGTTGAATTTTCGGAGAACGACGGACTCTCCGAGTCAGATCACACGCGCCCGATAAAGAACGACGAAGCTGTCCTCGTTTGAAGCCACTTATCGCCCGATTTCGTGCCGATACCTTCACTTCTCGCACTACTTTCCGCGCGACGCACTTTCGTTCGCGAGACTCCGGACCGTTTATCTACACTCTTCTCGGTTCCTGTGTTACGAAGTGTACGTACCAGTAGCTGGGGCGCTGTGACCGTTGAATCCTCGGGGAGCGACGCCGCGACGGACTCTCGAGCTCAGATTTCACACTCGTCTGATGGAGAGCGGCGGAGCTGCCTTCGTCCGAAGCCGTTGATCGTCCAATTTCGCGCCGGCATCTTCACTTTTCCCGTTACTTGTTCACTTTTCGCGATGCGCAATACGCTTTCGAAATTCTTCAAGCAACCGACTACTACGCTGGTCAAGTTGGCTGCTGCAGTCAGGTTCGCCAACTTTGTCCAAGTCGGACTAGCAACATTGAGAAACTAAATTTCCACACAAGGTCTGTTCGTGTCACATTCCCTAGCACGCTCCTGTTTGCGCCAACCTTTGACTATATAATCATGGACTGCTAGTTGCCTCCACTTTGCCTGGTCTAAAGCCCGCTGCAGACGATGCTATTTTTCCTGCTGGATTGCTTGTGATTTAGTAAATTACTATCATTGCACCACTCAGCATTCAGGATTCCTAGTAATTTACTAAATTGCAAGCAATCCAGCAGGAAAAATAGCATCGTCTGCAGCGGGCTTAACACGTAATCAACATCACGAGTGCCGCCATAGGATAAATGGCAGAAAATCGAAACACTAAGTCAGATTTAATGGTAAAACAGGACCATTTCAGGACCAATTATATTATAATTGGTTCTGAACTCTGATAAACATGATAAAACAGCACGACATAAGCTATATTCTATCTCTGTCTTCTGTCCTGTTTTACCATTAAATCTGACTTAGTGTTTCGATTTTCTGCCATTTATCCTATGGTGGCGCTCGTGATGTTGATTACAGCCTGAATGCGGCAACTAGCAGTCCATGATTATATAGTCAAAGGCGCCAACGACCAATACCGTCGTGATATTCGTCTCGATTTAATCGTCGCGACAATATAACTTAAACGCGATTAATACACGTTAATAACTTTTGTAAGAGACGATCGCGTTACGAGGAGCGACACGCAAAAACACGCGGAACGTCTGCCTCGCTCGACTCGACCGCGCCGACTGACTCGGCGTACAAAAACTGTTTTCGACCGAGGTGTTTACGGCGCTACGTCATTTCTTGGAATCGAGGCCGGCGCTCGGCGCCCGACTGACTCGGCACAAAAACTGTTTTCGACCGAGGTGTTTACTTACGGCGCTACGTCATTTCTTCGAATCGACGCCGGCGTTCGGCGCCCGACATTCCAACAATTTTCGCGATTGATTTATTTGAATAACCGACGAAAATTTTTCAAGTATGACGTGGAGAGATCCATGGTTGAAAGATATCCTCTTAATTAAGACAGACTAAATGTAGGCAATTCTGTCCATAAAATCGGATATATTTAGTCCGGACTCTCACCAAAAGGGAAATTTGCTGATAAAATCGAATATATCCAGGGGCTCGATTCTTGAATTTATTCGAAGGAGAAACGTATGCGAAAATTCTGCTCTTACAGAAAAGTTGCAAGTTGATTGGCTATTCGCATGGCTTTAACCAATCGACTTTCAACTTTTCTGTCAGAGCAGAATATCCGTATACGTTTCTTCTTCGAATGATTTCGAGAATCGGGCCCCAGACTCGCACCTAGCCGAGCTTTTAGCGAAGTGTCTATTAAGTAATCTGTGGCTGGAGCATGTTGGGGCATTCGCCGCGAACAGACCTACAAATTTTTATCGTAATAAAACGCAGTTAAAGCCCGCTGCAGACGATGCTATTTTTCCTGCTGGATTGCTTGCAATGTAATAAATTACTATCGTTGCACTATTCAGCACTCAGGATTCCTAGTAATTTAATAAATTGCAAGCGATCCAGCAGGAAAAATAGCATCGTCTGCAGCGGGCTTTATTGATGGATGTTTTAATAAAATTCGCTTCGTTTTTTTACCGCATTATATTGTACGTTAATAAAATTATGACCAATCAAGTTATTCGCTAGGACGAAATGAGAAAATATTAAACGTAGTTTCTTTGTACTATTTATCACTTTTCAGTATTTGATTCAATAAGTGATGACTCGAAACAGTATAATTTGTTATTTAACTAGCTAAAAATATTGATCGATAATAATTTGCCCAATCAAAAGTTACCAAACTCCCGTTGTCGAAACTTGTTTCCTTGGTTAGACGTGGCCGTGTTGGATCCAGATGGAGCCAGGAGTCATAAGAAGAAACTTGTTTCCGCTCTGCGTTGCTGTATTCTATGAGAAAGCTAGGTTAGCGTAAACCTAACCTTCTCAGGCCTTTCCCGTTTTCGACATATTAACGAGCGGTACGTATCATGCGGAGAATCCGCGTTTTTCACGATAATCGTCAACGAGACGAGCGTAATACGAAAACTGATTAATCATTGACGGTTTTCCGGATTGCGAGAGTGCAATATTTTTAAGTACCAGGTACAAGCGGAGTAACTTATGGCTGGAGTGATTTAGGTTACTGTCTGTTGTTTCAGTGATACGCTAAACATCCAAAATGTCTATCCGACCGGTCTATCGACCTAAAATCGTGAAGAAAAGGACAAAGAAATTTATCAGGCATCAGAGTGATAGATACGATAAACTCAAGGTGAGCATATCTTTCACCTTGTACTTTCGAATTGCACAAACGTGCTTGTGAAGTTAGGTTATATTGCACAGCATAATTATGTAGTAATTTATACATGTATTGTTGTTTTTCGAAAGATTGTTCTTAAAAAATTAGTCAATTGCTAGCGTAAAAGGTATGTACAAGATATGCCGTGTACATTTTGCAGCGCAACTGGCGAAAACCGAAAGGTATCGATAATAGAGTCCGCAGGCGTTTCAAGGGCCAATACTTGATGCCCAGCATCGGTTATGGAAGCAACAAGAAGACGCGTCACATGCTACCAACTGGCTTCCGCAAGGTCCTCGTACACAACATGAAGGTAAATGTCTCTTTCAAAAAGAATTGCCGTCTAAAAATCAATGAGCCTGAAATCTGAATAATGATTTAACAAATTAATAAAGTTCATAAGGCTCTCGTGTGACGTACCATAAATTTGAAGGAATAAGGAGAAACTGAAGAGCTGTGACAGGATGTTAAATGTCTAGATAATTCTTATTTTTAATTGATTGCGAAAAATATTACCTCGGCCACGGTTTGAATCTGGATCTCCTCTCACTATGCGGGCGTCTCTCCAATTTGACCACCGAGCATGTACACAACATGCTTAGTGAGAGGAAGGTCCAGGTTCAAACCCTAGCTGAGTTAATATTTAGTCTCTTTAGTCCTCATCCCTTCGAATCTATATTCAACTTTTTACTAAAATTTTGAACAGCTTTTTTGCAATGTAAAAATATCTATTTCAAGATTTTTCATTGTTACGACTCAAAATATGTAAGTAGTATTATGCAAGTTGGCTCCAGATAGAAAACGAGTACATTAACTTTTGCAGCTTCGTATTCTGTTTGTATATTTCTTGCCCAAGTACAAAGACTGATTCTTTACAGGAACTGGAAGTTTTAATGATGCAAAACCGCAAGTTCTGCGCAGAGATTGCGCATGGCGTTAGCAGCAAGAAGAGGAAAACTATTGTTGAGCGTGCTCAACAACTTTCAATACGTGTAACAAACGCCAGTGCACGTTTGCGCTCGGAAGAGAACGAGTAAGCATTACTTTTCGTGTATTTTGGCAATAAAATATTGAAAACATATGTCTAGTCTTCTATAATTTTTCAGTCGATATCTTCGACCATTCCACCTAAATGTTCTTAAAATTTACAAGATAAAAATGTTGGTTTGCAAGTATATGACAGTAATAAGTCTTTTAGCATTGCAATGTTCTATTGAAATCGATTGTTATGTACATTTATCAATTTACTTAGTTGATTACATAATAACGAATTGTATGATTTTCTGACACGTAAAAAAGAAAAATAGGGAAATTCTGTGGGTATTCAATCTGATAGCTGACTCTCAATTGAGTTTAATAATTCTTATATTTCTTAAGAAGTTATTAATTTCTACATGCTTCCATTATTTATATCTTCAATCTACATTATCCTGAAAAATTAGTTTTACATATCCTGGCGTTCCCTCGAGCGGTACCGCGCAGAAGGGACAGATCGCGATATAGCCGTTTGTGCCGTGTGGAATGGCTACCTTTTCCCAATATCTGCAAAACAGAGAAAGGCGAACAGCAAATGAGAAGATGGCGGAAAACTGAATACTTTAAGCATATCTATAATTTGTTCGAAAGTGTACAAGAATAGCGATTGGCGCGCGTTTACTAACTTGACAGTTTTCTCTGTAGCCATATGCCCACAGGGACTAAATGCGTAAGTGGGCGGTCCGCAGTCTACGTAAAAGGCAGGCTCTATTCCCATAGACAATTTGACTACCGCCCCTGCGACAAGGCACATGGGACACCTTCTCGTAACCTTATCCTTTTCCTGGCCCCAATCGTGATGCCCTTGTACATGACCGCATTTAAGGTAAACGTATGGCTGCTGCTGCGCCGAATCCGAAGCTGCTTTGCGTGGTATGACCAATGTGTTCAAGCCCACAGGACATTGCGGCCTGCCGGCGTTTATAGCGTCGACTAATTCCTCTAAATCCTGTTTTGTCTGCGAGAAGATTTGGCAATTAGCCAATGAAAAGTATTTTATACATCTTTGTAAAAACGTTGTAAATTACCGGAGACTTGGCTAAGCCTTCGGCGGACCGCCAGAGCAAAGTAGCACCGCAGAGGTCGATGAGAGTGCCATCTTGCAGAACATTGCTCTCATCCTCCACGACGTTGCCCTTCTGCTGAGCACTCCTACTTTCTCTGAGCGAGAAAACTCCGCCGTCCACACTGACCTCCCGCCAGAAACCGCATTGAGCCTCGCCACCGCAGAACTGGCCCCGCGGATGCATTATCAGAACTCCATTGGTCGTAAGCCCGTCAATCTCGCGATTCTCCTGCCATTTGGTTGCTTTTTCCTGCGCAAGATTGTTCATCAAGTTTCAATTTCCTTGCTAAACTAGACGTATCGCGCGATCAATCCAAAATCTCACCCCTAAAAAAATGTTCCTCGAACTGTCGAAGCCCGCGGCATAGATCCTGGCGATTCTGGGATCCGATCGGTCCGCCAGGATTCGACAAGCGAACCTGCTGATGGTGCTTTGGGCGACACGTCCTTCGATAGCAGGCGCGCCGTCGCCACCGCCCGCACACGTGTCCATCACTACGAAATCGATAGGCGACTCGGACGAACGGCCGATCTATGGACACACCATTTCAAATACATGAGTACATGTGACGAAAAGCACAATAAATACACCCAACAATATTTCGGACTCACCTGAAACATATCCGTTTTTTCATCTTCCGTATATTCGACAATAACAGCCTGCGTCCTGGAGAGTGTGTATGAAATCGAGTGCTGCTGTGTGTTGAGGATGGCTTGCGAACTATGCGGCGTTTTAACGATGTAGTGCTTGCTACGTTTAACACCATTTGGCACGGGTCTTTTGTATAATACAAATTTACTTCTTCTCCTCCCCCTATCGCCAGGTGGAAGGTAACCATTGTACCTGTTAAAGTCGTCAGGGAGATTCGTTAGTCGTTTAATCTTCTGCTTTCTTCCATCAGTTTCATTCGCGCGAGATCCTTACCCAAGTATAACTAGTTCACCGTATTTCACTAATTGTTTGGGCTTTTCATGATGATAGCTGTGAGATCGGTGTGGATTGCCATGTGAATGGCTGTGACTGTGTATGTTGCGTGGACTGTGAGGTGCACCGACTGTCTCACCTTCTTCCACGAGCAATGGGCTCTCGCTACTACCGCCGTCGGATCTAATGTACGATAAACACACTAAGTATAATAAACCGTTCGTACACAAGCGTAGGGTGATCCTCCACTACCATTTTTTTTTTTCAAGAATCTTGGTGCCGCTAAATAGTCTTCTAACTTGGAGTCGATCTCTTTCTTTTGCAATTAGCAAAACTTGATACAAAATATATCAACGACAAATATTTTTCGGATTAAACCTCTTAAAAATTGAAGTTAACTGGGAAATAGATTTGTCGTCTATTTGCAGTTTTGAGATTCATGATATCACTGAGATATTTTATTATTATTAGAATTTCTTTTATTTATAAGTTTTTTTTAAATTTCTGTTTTCCCTTTGATGTTTAATATTTATGGCTGAAAGAAAGAAACGACGGTAGTGGCAAATCACCCTACAGAATAACGTGACAAACTATTGAGATACATTTGTTAATTCTTTTTGTAAAACAAAAAATTTTACCAAGAACCAATTACACAGTGGCACTGTAAATTTGATGAAGCCCATGAAGCAGTGAGAGCTCTCGTTTAATTTTGGCAGGAAAGAAAGATAAATTGTCATAGAAACGCAGTCATAATAGCCCTAGTTAGGAGATCGTAAGAGTAAAATGGAGGATGAACAATATACAGTACGTGTTGCGTTAAAACTGTACAAATGATACTCATTCCCTGAGCGTTTCCCTAATCTTGCACAACTGTAGCTACCACCAAGGAAAAGGAGATTTCGTTGGAGATTAAAACGGGATTAATATGTTAATAACGATGGAAAGAGAAGGATGTCTGTAACTGGAAATACTTTCTGATCCCAAAAGCAAAAGGATATCAGATGTGTGTAAGACTGTACAGTTGAGTTTCAGCATTTCAAGTATCTCGTGCCCTGCAAGGTAACTTAATATTGTTAATATATTCGCGCTAAGAGACTAGCTGAATGATCCGATGAATTTGACACGCTCTTTCTCTTTTGTCGTTTAGAGAGGCAGCAGCAAGGCATTTCGGAGTTTGCGCTTGATACATCACCTTGTCACGCATCTGTACAGCCAATCTGTCCCGTTACTTTATTCCCTACGAGGTAATTGTTTGCAAAAGCGCTCATTTACGTTTTCGCACAAACGTGACGGCACGCTTCGTGTTTCTTAGAAACGGTGCGCTCTATAAGAAAGTCCAAGTCGCATCTGAGCAACACAAAGCCGCAGCGTGGTAGAGAAGACAGTTTTTTTTCGTGGCTTACATTACGTAATATGTAAACCGTAGGCTTACTTACCGCGAAGGGTATGGAATGCGTTTAGTTACTGGCATCCTCCTTTCAGTGGGATTTATAGACTACTACTTCCACATGGTACTTGAAAGGGTACTTGGTAAGGACGGGCAGTCTTAGGGATCTTCACACGCGGTTGCAGACAAATCTGAGCAATTGCATTTGCACGCGGCAAGCTGCGAATTGGTAATTATGATCTGCAATGAGAAACATTTCAATATAAAGATCGTAATCCATCTTCTATCTGTTCGCCGGCGCGTTATAAAATTTTCCATATCCGTGAAAGTGCGCGCGCGCCTTTGCCTCGTAACTGCTATTGTTAACAAAGTGGATCCCTGGCTCCTCGATTCTCTTGGCTCTTGCTAAGCGCGCGACATTACTACAACTTTTATTTGTCGGATACGGCGAGCGGGTCCAGAATCAAATTAAACTACTGCCCTTTTGCATTTCTCTCGTTTCACGTCTCCCTCCGAATACAATCGGATCTTTGACGACGGCACGAAACGTATCCCTACCGAATCATCCTCCCAAATTTTCTCTATGGGCGCCTACACACAAATGGGCTATTACGACTGCTGTTTACGGTAACATGGTAGTTGTAACACGTTTGCACGTGTTACGGAAATGCTACGCAATACATGGCTCTATTTAGAATCAACTTGTCTAATGATTTGTGAAATGAGGAATGCCAAGCTTTCTCACACATAACACATACAACCAGCATGCTGCCAAAAGTACACAGAGAAGCCCGCTTAAAGGTTTTCTTCGACAGATCGAAGGCACACTTAAGATAACGAGACAACAATTTCTTTGCGATAACGAAAAAAACGAGGTGTAAACCGCCGAGGGCATTGTAAAGGTAAAACGAGGTAAAACAATTAGTACACGGGGAGGGAGTTTCTTCCTAAAGTTTATCCTGAAAATCATGTGATCGTGGGACAAGTGGCATTTTCAACAATTTCACCAGAGTTCTTTGTACTTACAATTAGTATACATTTTGTCGGTACAAGCAAAGGTGTTCGAAATGCCATCTTGTCCCACGATTACATAATTTTCAGGGCAAATTTGAAGAGAAAGTTCCTTCCGCGTGGGCACTGGTCTACGTGATTTTGGCCAGCGGTTTGCCCCTCGCGAAAAAGTAAAAATTGTTGAACCGATCGACTTGATCGATTTACGAAAGTGCCGTTGGAAACCGTTGGTCTTTTTCGTCGCGCGACGAGCTCGACAGAGCTGGTCGGCGAGTCATGCCGCGAGGTAACTTTCGTTTTCAACAATAGCGGACAATTAGAGGCCGCGCGCGAGTCATTACGAGGAACGAGTGTCAGCAGATATTCAAGCTACGAACAAAATACGCTTATCGCGCGCAGGACAAACACACGTCTTTCGCAAGCACTTGGACAGTGCCGTGCCAAGCTGCATTGCCGATGACCTAAAAAGATTTGCATTTCGTTCGTCATACTCGCGCAATCACGAATAAAGCGGCCCTCGTCGACGTACGTGCAGAGCCGCGCTATTCGCCAGTTTTCGGCACACCGTTTCTCTTATCCGCGCAGATCGATGTGCGATTTTGAATTCTCGTTTCCGAAGGAAAACGCTCCTTTTCTAGCCGGAGGTACGCGGATTTGTCGGACTGCTTGAAAACGGAGCCGAGAACTACTCTCGCGCCGGAAGTGGAGAAAAGCAAGGTCGCGCGAGGAGGAAGAGAGTGTGCGACGAGCGTGACCGAGGTCGACTTTGAAAATACGAGACGAGTCGGTAGCAGGCTGGCGTTACTTGTCGACCTCCTCGCGCGGGGTCTTCCGTGACGATCGCGCGGAACAAAAGCCCAGGATGAACGGCGTGCGGTCTGTCGAGGGTGAGAAGAAAAGGAAAAGCGGTCCCACATGCACCGAGTGTGTCGACACTACTGCGCGGGCTCCCCCCGCCCCCCCGTCTCCGCGAGATAACGTGAAAGAATGTTCTCTCTTGCGTTATTTGGTAAATACGCGACACAGGCGTACGTGTACACACATGCATATTTGCACGGTACGCCAGCGACGCAGTATCGGCTGCAGACAGGGAAATCGGTGCACTGCGGCACGTCGATCGGCGTGACACGATTTGTCTCGTGCAATACTATCGACCGCGCGCGGGGAGGAGGTGCTCGCTCCCCTTTCTTCCTTCTCGCTCTCACTCTCTCTCTCGCTCTCATTCTTTCGGTTTCGGCAAGACTAGGGAGGACAAATGGCAGATGATTTACCGTATCACCATCGTGGCACGCTCCGCATTCGAACGCGACTCCGCTGCGATTATCCAAGTCGAGGGGAAGGGCGACGATCTGCACACTGATCGGGAGGACGCGGCGGCACTCTCTCGCCACCTTGCCACCCCCCTTTTTCTTTCCCCGAGAGGATCCTCCGAGTAATGACGATATGTACGTTGATGGAGAGAGCGCGCGCGCGCGCCGCTCCTCGTTCACTCTTCCGTCTTGGTCGGGTCGTCGCGATCCACCGTGTTTACTACGCGTGACGAGGACGATCCTCGGGTGGAGCGGCGACCCATGATCGCGGGTGTCATATCGATCACACCAGCGCCGAATTCCGCCTCGCGACACCTTCCCGCGTCCGTCTCTCGCCGAGTTCTTTCACTTCCCCCCCACAAGTTCGATCGCTGCGGCGACACGTTTGTTTTGCACGTCGCGCGACGAGGCGACGGGGTCGCGGGACGGTGGAGCTGCGCCTCCGCGACACCCACGCACGCACACGGAAAACAACACAGCGCGCACCCACGCGCAACTTGCGACGACGCGACGGCGAACAATGCGAAGCGGCTCGCGCAAACGAGACGAAGGCGACGAGGCTCCTCTGGGTCGCGAGACGGAGTCGCTCGTGGTCGCTCGGTCCCTCGCGGAGCTGTGACGAGCGAGAAAATCGCGATCACCGCGATCCGATCTCGTCCGATGCGTCCGTGTCCAATGCGAGAGCCGCCATGTTGCTCAACATCAGCTCGACCGAGGCGCGACGCGCGATTCGTCCCTTTTCTTCCGGTGCGTGCCTCCTCGAGCGGCAACGCGATTTCATCCACTTTCCACACAGTTTGCCCCAGGGTGGTTAAACTGCCACATTTTCCCTCCAATTTCCGAGTTTCGCTTGTCTCCATCGACAATTTTTTCAACAACTAGAAAATTTACGGCCGGTATTCGTAATCGCATCTTATATTCAACACTGTCCTGAATTTATTTAAAGATGCTGTATGGAATATTTTAATTGCTTACGAGAGCCAATCAAGATGCAGAGTTTTCAATCGGGTGACGCAAAGCTGAATCCTGATTGGCTGATTCTTCACGAGAGCCAATCAGGACTCAGCTTTGCGTCACCTGATTGAAAACTCTGCATTTTGATTGGCTCCCGCAAGCAATCCAATAGGAAAAATAGTATCGTGTGCCGCTGGCTTTATACTGGGTCTGTTCTTTATTGCTGCACTTCTGAGCTAGCACACTGGTGCAATGAGTTGGAATGAGAGGTAATCTATTTGTTTCATTTTAACTTACTGCACTAGTTAAGTAGTGCAGTAATAAAGAACAGGCCTACTATGATCTGACTATGAATCGACCTTAAAAGCATGTCATGCTAGAACCAAGAAAATAACCAATCGCAGTCGATTATTCTCCTCATATTCGATTGTGATAGGTCACTTTCTTAAATCTGACGTCTTAGGGTGCTTTCACATGAAGCGTAAGTTGCGTAGCGTAACCTGCGTATCGCCAATCACAGGACTAGTTCAACGGAATTATTGAAACGGTTCTATCAGCATGATCCTGTGATTGGTGATACGCAGGTTACGCTACGCAATTTACTCTCCATGTGAAAGCACCCTAATAGGCTTTAAAAATCTCGTTGTAAACGCCGCATAAGATACGCGTTAAGGCAAGATCTTCGAAAACGAAAATTCGTCCAATAGAAGAGTCCGTTTCCTAGGGACTTTAATCAGTAAACGCTTCCGGCCTGAAACTTTTGCTCCTGGAAAATGGCTTTCCTATTGGACGCTTCTTGACTGCCTCGTAGTGATCTCGCGTTCGTCACTTTTGCCGTCCCGATTCTCGGTTAGCGGTTCGGAGTAACAGGGGTTAGAATTTCAATGCCTGTGAAATTTCGCGATTACGTGAATTAAGAGGAGTGCGACAAGTGCGGAGGGATCGACGAGTACGACCTTCGGAAGCCGTCAGCTTTATTGTAAAATATGAGTCGTAGACGAGTACACGACGAAGATGATGGTTACGGTAAGCGAGGTTTCAAGTTACCGCCGCCCTCCTGACGCCGCCTGACTCGCCGACTATCTGAAAAAGCTGCGTCGTGTTCGCACAAACATCTCTTATTTTACGTATCTTTCTGTTTTACTCTTGTTCAAGCTCGTGCACTTGATGTCGGTACTTTAATTCACGCAAAAGCGCGTACGTTCACCTACGCACGCACGCACACAGCTTTTTCAGAAGTACAGAAAGAAAAAAGCCCGGTCTGCAATGCGTTGGTAGTCGTTAGTCAGAAGTCAGAACCATATGTCAATCCTTTTTCTTTCTGGGTCAACTAACGACTATCAACTCACTGTAGACCGGACCAAAAGTTTCAGTATTACATTTTTCATTTTTATATTTCTCTTTTCCGCATATTATTTAAATTTCATCATTTTTTTAAACGACACCTGACCAGAATTAAAGAACATAAAAATGACATAAAAAAAGACGAAAGCTGCCACTCCGTGGTCAGCAAACATCGTACGTCACACGAGTTCAACTGGTCGGAACCAAGAATTTTACATAGCGAGCGCCTTAGGAGAAAAAGAGAAATCGCTGAAATGTTTTTTATCAAGAAGGCCGATAACACACTAAATTTACAGACACCGAAAACTTGAATGTAATATACCACAGTGCTCACACTTATACATATATTTTATAACTTGACTCTGATTTAACGATGACTGACGTAGATGTATTACTTAACTTTTAACTAAGGCCCGGTCTACAATGAGTCGTTAGTCGTTAGTCAGAAGTCGCAACTATATGTTGATCCTTTTCCTTTCTTGGTGGAAGAAAAAGGACCGACATATAGTTCCGACTTCTGACTAACGACTAACAACTCATTGTAGACCGGGCCTAAATCCTTTTTACTTATTAACCTACATTATTTCATAACTGCGTTGTTTTTGTTGATTTGCAGTATCACTTGAAAAGTACCCAAAAGAATAGGGTCGAAACGTTGTGTAATAAACTGATTAAATAATTAGCCAGTTGGGTTGACTATAAGTTTCGCGTCTCAATTTTTAATTATTACTGGTGACAATAAGCAAACTCTCCTTTCGTTTCTAAAATAATATTTAAGTAATATTAAATAAATTTGGGTTTTGCTAATGTCTGGTACATGTAAGAGAATCAAATCATTGACATGCATAATGGTGATAGATTACATTGTAATATAAAAATCCTTGATAAATGATCCTTTATATTGATTACACTTGTAAAATCATACATACATTTGTTCTGATTTTAGATCGAGTGTATAAGAAACGCAGGAGGGTATCGGAGAATCAAGAGATTGAAGATCGTCTTGAATCTCTTATCCTCCGCGTCGGAGAGAAGTCTACGTCATCTCTGGAGAGCAACTTGGAAGGTTTGGCTTCTGTGCTGGAAGCCGACCTGGGTCTATTTCGTAGCAAGATCCTTCGGATCTTAACGGACTGCGCTATTAAGATGCCGGAGAAGTGCACCATTTATACCACCCTTGTCGGCTTACTGAACGCAAAAAATTTCAATTTTGGTGGAGAATTTGTGGATTATATGGTGAAAAATTTCAAGGATTCCTTGAAAGCGTACAAATGGGATGTGGCTAGGTATTCTCTTAGATTTCTCGCTGACTTGGTAAATTGCCATGTTTTATCGTGCGGATCGTTGATGCAGTTGTTTGATAATATGCTGGATGCTGCAAACGAGGATGGTGTGCCGCAAGTGAGACGCGATTGGTACGTGAGAAACTGACATCTATACGGCTGCATCTCTGTTGCGTGAATTCTGCAAAATGAACTTTAATATTTACACATAATAATTTGCAGGTATGTGTATGCCGTTCTATCGACGCTACCGTGGGTGGGTAGAGAATTATACGAGAAGAAAGAACAAGAGTTGGATCATCTGATGGTTACAATAGAGATATTTTTGAACAAACGAAGCAAGAAGCATCAGCCAGCGTTGAGAGTATGGTCGAGTGACACGCCTCATCCGCAGGAAGAGTATTTAGACTGCTTGTGGGCGCAAGTTCGCAAACTGAGACAGGATAATTGGGCCGAGAAACATATTCCACGACCATATCTTGCATTCGATTCGATACTGTGTGAAGCGTTGCAGCATAATTTACCACCTTTGATACCACCTCCGCACCACGAATCTTATTCCTATCCATTACCCACTGTCGTCTTTCGTATGTTCGATTACACAGATTGCCCTGCGGAGGGACCATTATTACCAGGAAGTCATGCCATTGAGAGATTCTTGATAGAAGAGCACTTACGACAAATTATTAATAATTCTTACTTTGAGAGAAAAGATTGGTAATTTATACTTTTAACTGTTACTCTTGCTATTCCTAAATAACACGTAATAACACCATTTATTTTTACTTTACAGTGCTGCACAACTACTGAACTTCCCATTCAAAGCCAAAATTCCTTTAGACTATTGTATCGTTGAAGTGATATTCGGTGAATTGTTTAGACTCCCCACGCCGAAACATTTAGAGATCTGTTATGGGTCAATTTTGATAGAGCTCTGCAAATTGCAGCCTTCAACCATGCCACAGGTTAGAAACGTTATAAATTATACGCTCGAAAATTCAATACTCTATTATTTGTATATTTTACGTAGGTATTAGCGCAAGCCACAGAGATTCTGTTTCGTCGTATAGACAGTATGGCAGCTACTGCTTTCGACCGTTTCGTCTGGTGGTTTGCATACCATTTAAGTAATTTCCAATTCCGTTGGTCATGGGAAGATTGGGATTCCTGCTTGCAACGTGATACAGAACATCCAAGACCAAAATTTATACGGGAAGTCTTACTCAAGGCTCTGAGGTCAGCATTGCGTATATGCTATACCTTTAGATTAATTTTATCACCAATTATTAAAACGCTAAAATTAAATCATGTACCAAACTTTTACACTTTTAGATTGTCGTATTATCAAAGGATTCGGGATATGATGCCAGACTCGTATGTGGACTTGATTCCAGCAGTTCCCGAACCTGTTTACAAATATTCATCTGAAGGTGCTAGTAAGTATATGTTTGAAATCTAACATTACAGCTTTGAAACTTAACGAGATGTATATGTGCTATAACTCTGTTCATATTTTGATATCAAATTAGTTTTTAGATATAAGAGTACGTAAGATTATCTATTTTTTAACCACGATTAAATATGAGTTAGAACATAATATTTTTCTGATTTGAGTCACTAATCAGATGGCAAAGCTATTTAAACAGAGATAATTCATATTAATATATCAGCAAATTATTTCAGGTTCGCTCCCTGGTACATCTGCAGCACACGAACTGGTGGTTTCTATAAGACGTAAATGCACGCCGGAAGAAGTATTAAATGTATTAAATACATTACCTGGCCCTAGAGAAAACGAAGAAACGAATAATTACAATCCGTTGAAGATCGATGTCTTTGTACAAACTTTACTGAATCTGGGTTCGAAAAGTTTCAGTCACAGTTTTGCGGCTATAGTAAAGTTTCATTATGTCTTCAAGGTAATTGAGTGTGTTACTGCTGTACAATTCGGATGCATGTATCCTTCATACGAATATTTCTCACTCACAGGTGCTCGCTGAAACGGAAGAAGCGCAGATATGTATATTAAGAAATATGTACGCACTGTGGAAGAATCATTACCAAATGATGGTAGTACTAACGGACAAGTTTTTAAAAACTGGTATTATTGAGTGCAGCGCTATCGCCAATTGGATATTTTCCAAAGAGATGGCATCGGAGTTTACAAAGTTCGTTTTACCGCCGTATCTGGATAAAATATTTATTCACTCAATCATTTTATCCTGAAATGTTAGCACAATTCGTGGTACATGTCGGAGAATACATAGCGATATAGGACACTTTTATTTCTAGATTATATATTTGGGAAATTCTGCATTTGACAATACGTAAAATGAATAAGCATGTAACGAAATTGAGCACGGAATTGACGGAGGCGAGGGAGAAACTGAGAAGAGCGGAAAGTAGATCGGGTTCTTCTTCGGATGAGGAAGATACTAATAAAGAGAGAAATAGGGAGAGACCCTCGGAGGATGTGGTAGAACGAATGGAGGAGAAGCTGGAAGCTGCGCAAGCAGATCAGAAAAATTTGTTCCTCATTATATTTCAGGTAGAAAATAAACGTATCGCTTGTATTAAAAGTAAATCCGCGAATGAATCTTTTTAATGATATAAAAAAATTTTATCCGTTATGTAAGTGTATATTTTACATCTTATCTTATTATATTATTTCATTTCTTTTTTAGCGTTTCATAATGATTCTGTCGGAACATTTAGTGCGCTGCGACACAGATGGAATTGACTATAACACACATTGGTATAAATGGACTGTAGGAAGATTGCAACAAGTTTTCTTATCTGTGAGCTATAAATTGATCATTCTTATGTGATGAATGTGTTTCGTACTTGTGGAAAGTATGTGTATAATTTTTGTCTGTCGTAATTGCAAGACGGTTCTATTTTACAGCATCAAGAGCAAGTACAAAAATATTCCTCGACGCTGGAAACATTACTTTTTACCCCAGACTTGGATCCTCATATTTTGGACGTGTTTCATCAATTTGTTTCTCTTCGAGCATAAAATAAGAATATGTATGCTATATAAATAATCTATATCAAAGTACATTTTATAAGTTAGTAACTTAAGCTACATCAAAGTATATTTAAATTAGTAAGCCAAATTATAATAAAATACATTTTTGGAGTTTTTATTTGTGCCTCAGCTCTCATCTAATCATATTATCCTGCCAAATCTTAAGAGTTTAAATCTCTCTGAACCCAAGAACTTAAAAATTCTAGCAATAAAACAGATAATGCACAGCTGTGTAGCATACATTTTTTCTTTCAACCGGTTTTTTTAAACTTAATACTCAAGGGTTTTTTGAGTCGCTGATTACGAGTCTGGTGGCAGAATTACAGAATTGAAATGCAGATTTTCAGACACTTGTGAATTTTGTAAATCTGACCTCACGTTTACAGAAATAATTTGTTTGCCACAGCTGCTACATTGAGTGAATCGTCGATAATTTTAGAATTTCGATTCAGAATTAGCAAACCGAAAACCTAGACATCTGAGTGAAAGAAGTGTTAGTTTTTAATTTCGGAAGGTCTAACGTTTACTTATATTTTACACCGTGCCTCAAAGAGTTAAATTGCATCGATATTTCGACACATGGAGAATCTCGGTCGTTGAACATCAATATGGCAAACTGTCTCCTTTCAAGTTAGCCTACCGAATCTTGCTAGAAATGTGGAGAACGTTGTGAGGGAAACGTCGGGTAAACGGGCTATTTGTGAAAATCACAGGGTGCATTCCGAGTTTCGCATGAAGCGCACAGACTGCATAGAAAGTCGTTCCGATTTAACTAATGCGCGCATTGATAGCGTTTTGGTAGCGCTGAAAATTCACTAAGGGCCAGTTTCACAAACTTCGGTTAGCTGCTAACCAAAGGTTAATTGATCCGCTGTCTCTTCTTAAATAATAAGATGAAAAACGATAGGGAGTCGACTGAACCCTAGTTAACAGTTAACCGATGTTTGTGAAACTGGCCCTAACAGTGTGCGAAGATGCAAGAGCCGCCGCATGTCACGAGCGTGGGTCAGGGCGAATTTTACACCGCTGCTGCGAAATATTGGGACCGCATCCCGCCCACGGTGAACGGGATGCTGGGGGGCTTTGGATTTATCTCGCAGATTGATATAAAAGGCTCTGTGATCTTCCTAAAATCCCTTTTCAAGGTACATATTGTTATACTCTAACCTATCAGTACATTTCGCAAAATGTGTTTCCACATTTGTACGTTTGATAAAAAGTAAATTATAATCCACTTTAATTACAACGTATGTTATTAACTAAGAAAAATGACTATAAAATATGCCAGTGTAAAATAGAAGGAAATGTATAGTTTGTCTTAATTTTGTACAAAGCGTCTTCTTCTGCCTTGAAATAATTTGGATAAAAATGTCGAGGAAACTAGTTGCAATAAATTATAGACTTAAATGTAAGAAAAAATTGTTCTGTTTTAGTTAGAAAATCCACCTTCCAAAGCGTTTGCCCTGGATTGCGGTGCTGGTATTGGCAGAATTACCAAGAATTTGTTACTCAAGTTTTTTAAACACATAGACCTCGTTGAGCAAAATCCAAAGTTTCTAGAGGTAGCAAAGATCTCCTTGGAAAAGTATTCGTCGAGGATCAGCCAATATTATCCGATTGGTAAGCATATTGATCTACAAGACTGAGATTTAGTGTGTCGAGTACAAATATGCTCATCTTTTAAGGATTGCAAAATTTCTCTCCTACGGCAAAAAAGTACGATATTATATGGTGCCAATGGGTACTGGGACACTTGAAGGACGACGACCTGATAGAATTTTTCAGGAACTGCTCGTGAGTTTTAGTTTTGCTTTGTCGCAGAGGAAGCACGACGCACCGTTTTTCACCTTGCAATTTGGGTTCGCAGATTAGGTTTGAAAGATAACGGTATACTGGTGGTGAAAGAAAACATCACAACCTCGAATAATATGGAAGTTGACAATAAAGATTCGTCCGTAACGAGGTCAATGGAAAACTTGCGAGCTATATTTCAAATGGCTGATCTTATTTGCATCAAGGAACAACAACAGACTAAATTCCCACCCGGTTTATATCCAGTTTTTATGTTTGCCCTTAGACCGAGAAATCAGTGCGCGATGTACGAATCAAATCTGATCGCTGTGACTTCTTAGTTAGATTTACAATAAATTATTTATTTTTCCATTAGCATTTTCTCAAATTATGTTAGTTCCCTGAAAGTGTAATCTTTTAACCAAAGGATTTCGACGAGAGTTCTTGCGCTATACATTTTATACACAGAAAGAAAATAAAGATTAACTCTATAAATTCATTTTATAAAAAAATTATTTTGCTCAATAATTACAATAAATACACATTATGCAGTCGACTGTTGCATTAGCCAGCGAGTAAAGTTCTATGTAAAAAAGTAGTTTACTTTGGCCGTATTTTTTCATACATAAAACGCTGATTTGCATCTTGAGGGGAAGCATTTATGAGTCGCCTCTTTACAGCATGAAAGTGCTCCAGAGCGAAATTATAGAACTCATTTTCCATTTTCCACACAACCGATTGCTGGATCTTGTCCACTGTTTCAGGTAATGGATTGAGTTTTTGAGTGGTTTGTCGCAAGTGTGATTTGTTATCTAAAATCAAAGAAGACAATGATATTTTCTGATATTGTTTTAATTGTGATAATGTAATAAGGGAAATATATTAGGAGGGATTATATATTCCCTCGAGGAGGGGATATTTATTTTCGCCAACACTTACTATGTAAAAAGAAGCTGTATGCTCCCTTGAAAAACCGTGGTAATACACTCTCCAACACTTGTACGAATTCGTTCAACTCCTCCGTCACTCCAACCAGGAAGTAATACCTTTGTAAATTCCGTTTGGCTTCCTCTAACGCCCAGTGGTTACCAATTTCCCTGCAAAAGACAATATGAGCTAATAAGAATTATTGCATTATTTGGATGTCTAGTTAAGAAATATAGTCCAAGTAAAAGATTTGCGTTGACAATGTTTTATTTCCAATTATAAAGAGAATTTACCAACAAGCTGGGTCGTGACCACACAAAAATGGAATCTGCAGCCACATGTTATTAGGATCACAGTCAGGTTGACCAATATTTATACACTCGTCAAATGTCTAGACGAGATAGGATAGGTTGATTAGACAAATTTATTCTTTATATGTACATGTACATCTTCGGATGAATGCACAAACCTTTGTATCTCCATGTTTCTTCCTTATAACATGAGGTCTAAAGTTGTCCCCGTATCTTAAGAAGTAATAGTATGATACAAATCTGTCTAAAGGTTTCCTCAGCAAATTTATATACAAAGGCATACGTTTAGTACCAAACCTGAAAAATAAAAATCTATCAACAACAACAAATATTAATTTTATTTTGTAAAAAAATGCAAACCTCGCTATACCTACTTTCCAAAATTTAAAAATGCCATATGTCCATGGTAAAACGCTGGTTTGATACTATTCCAGTTTGATATATTGTTTGCAAATTGAACCTGTATGTAACATCTCTGTGTTAGTGATAAAATTCATTATGAGATATATCTCTGAATTGTGACAGAGAAAGAAGGAAACACATAACGAATAAGGATAGAATGGCGTTTTCAGAGCTAAATAGCGTTGATAGTGAAGCTCTCCGAACGCACCATTACATTGTGGTAAAAATATATTTAAAAAATAAAGAAACAATGGCTCGTAGGATAAAAATCAAACGATAAAAAAGAGAGGGCTCAGAGCCTAGACAAGATGGTAGTGTCAGTTGCGATTTACACTCTCGATATGTACTTTCGTTCCAATAACTAACTTCATTTTTTATTTCACGGACAAGTGTAATTTCACTTTTGTATTATTCGCATGCCAATGCGAATTCTAACTTTATCTCACTGGAGATGGTCCAGTTTGCGATTGAAACGTATACACTTTTATCCAATAAGATTCTCTGACACTACCATCTTGTCTAGGCTCTGAGACATTTGAAAAAGTAATCATGTTTTTGAAACGAGATTCTAATATCAAAAACTCACAGACTATTAGTACATACACAGTATAAATCTTAATATGTGACGCACCTGGTTAGCGAAAGTAAGGGTGTGCATGTTGTTAGTCACGTTGATGTGTAGCACGTGATACTTGTTCTGCTTGCACAGATCGTAAACTAATCCCATGAAGCTGGTGGACGCTGTCTTCGGCACTCTGTTGTATATCACAACCACGTCCTCCAAGTCGTCCTCGCTACCTGCTCGCGCCTCGGCGTGCCCGTCGTCGTTCCTAGCGTCGAGTCGCGCCTGCACGACGGCATCATCTGGAAAGAGCATCGCGTTACTGCTGTTGGAATTGGTGCGGCGAGTCGGTGGGAGGCTGTGCTCGAGGTTATCACGCGGACACGTACGGAGCGATCTGTAGCTCTCCTCCAGGTCGTCCAGTCGCAGCCGCAGGTAGACTATCACGACGACGAGGAACAGGATCAGGACCCATTGCGCGAACGGCAGGTTCCTCAGTATCATCTTACGTCGCCGCTCAAACCATACCTGTCGCCCGCGTCGGCCGCCCGCGAGCGCGCCGTGTCTGGGGCCGAGCCGCGAGAGCTCGAAATGTACGCCAGATACTTAGGCGAGGTGTCCTTCTTACTGTCCTGAATATCGCTCCCTTCCTTATAAACCGCACGCCGGTCCTTATACGTTCGGTCGCCGAACTTCGGATGCACCGTGCTTCGGCAGAGCGTATGATCTTTTAGGTTAGAAAATCACACGAAAACATACACGCGATCAGTAATCACACCCTCGAGGCAAACCTGCTTACGGTTGGTATTCCTGCGATTCGTTTACTTGCCGTGCTTACGAAAGTCGCGGACGGTATCTCCAAAAAAAAAGTATATATATACATACATATATAATACAATAATATAATGAAAATAAAATTTGAAATGTGGTAAATTATATACAGGGTATGTCTTAATTCGAGCCCACGATTTATGCAGTGATATTTCTCATAAAAAAACTGAGTCAAAAAGTCCCGAAACATTTTTTCAAATCGTGCTTTATAAGTTATTATTAAATAAAGATTAGCATCGCTTTTTACTACACTGACTTGTTTTAGGAGCGGAGGAAAAAGGACCAAGTAATTTGCGTGCCAGAATAAGTTCGTTGCGTAAATTGAAATGACAACACTAGGAACGTTAATGTATACATTTTATAATGAACTTTGGGGTAAAAAAGGTTCGAGTTAGATCTCGCTGGTACACGATCGCGATTAACAAAGAATTTCTATAAATACACAGTCCTCGGTAGATCTGCCCTGCTTCCTTTTAGCACAATGTATCACAAATCTCGTTATCAATTTATTAAATAGCTTATATAATATCTATATGCTAATATGTAAGTATACATTAATTACACTGATCAATTGCGATTTATACATTCCTGTGCACTAGAGCGGTGTTACGACATCGTGCATCGCGTACCTCCACGTCCACGCCCTGGCCACTTCCTCAAACTTTTCGCGGTCGTTGATATACATATCCCCCAATTCTGGCTCCATACACACCTGTGCACAACGGTCGTCACATTAGTAATAATCCAAACACGTTGTATCTGGGGGTCAATTCTGTATCTTACACTGTAGTGCTAAGAGTGAATAGCTTTGTCTCTTTCTAAACGCCCCTTAAAAAAAAAGAGACAAAGCCGCTCACTTTTAGCATTTTTACTATATTGTAAGATACAGAATTGACCGTCTGGTCTTAATATAAATATACATAGCGTCAAATTTTAGATTAATACTTTCGCGGCAACAAGCAACCAAGTGGACTTGTATCTCCCAGTGGCTATGGAAGGACTAACCTTGATAATAATAAAAAATGTTTTGAAATGATATTCTTACTTGGCAGTACGGATCCGTAAGCAGACTTTGTACACTGATAAGGACCTTAGATATCGTGAGAGCTAATGACCAATTATGATGTATCGAGTCTATGCCGACGTCCCCGTGTCTCGACACGTTCGGGTGAAGTATCTTCGTTAGAAACCTTACTACGGGTGGACACATGGGATAACTGTAAGAAATACACATACATGTAGGTGAAATATTGATAACACAATGCACTGTGAGAATTCCTTTCTTATTCTCAGGAATATCAAAGTCCAGAGTTCTTTAAAAGGTAATTGATTTGAAAATGAAGTTTGAATTTGCCATTGAATTTGAAAAGATTTTTCTATTAACTGGAAAAAATATGTAGTAAGTTTCTCTTATTAATACAGTATAAGGTAAGTACCTGAATGGTACTTGTAGGTATAGATAAAACAATCCTCCCTCGTACGGACTTCCCACTGGTCCTGTGATGGTGGCTTGCCAATGGCAGCACATTTGATCAAGCGGCATCGCTTCGATGCCCTCAGGTGGATCGAGCCTTAGACTCTTGAGCTCGCTGCGTAGCCTGTTCCTCCGCCAAGAGTTCTCCTCCATTCTGGGAGGCCTCGATCGCAGGGAGGTCTGCGCCAAGCAGGTTCGGCACGGTGCCGAGGAGGCCAGGTAATCGTACACCTTGTACCAATTCCTGACGCAACCGATAGGCTTGTACAGGGGCCAGCGTAATTTCACATGCTGCTCCCACTGTGACTGCGTGACGTGCGTCGACAGTAGACCGCACCATCGTCGACAGACATTCGCCGCCGACCACAGGCTGATGTCGTCGAGATGCGAGAAGATGGCGAGCAGCACCTCGGGCGGCAATCTCTCCACCAAACCCGGCTCGTTGATGGGCTCGTGTTCGATGTGTTTGTGATTCGAAAGGATCTCCAGCCGCTCCGACAGATTGTACGGCCGTGACGGTTCACCCGCGTCCTCGCACACCCTGTAATTCCAATGATACTGCGCGGCGTTGTTCCCAGGTTCGTTGCTCTGACCGTCGTGACCGAGCGCAAACATCTCCGGCATACTCCGTACATTCTCCTCCACTCTATCCTGTGCGTTTCGATTATTCCTGTTGCCGCAGTTCTGGTGACAGTCGCCCATCGTCGTTCGGCAAAGCATATTCTGCAGATCGAGATCCGCGTCGCGCGGCGCCGGCGCGTTACGCGCAAATGCTGGCACGCACGTGTCGACGGGATTGCCGCTCGAATTGCTCTGGAGCACGTGGTAGTTGCACTGAGGCGTTGCATTTTGATACAGCGCGTAACACCTGCGCGAGACGTTCGCGTTCGCGTTAACGTTTACGTTATGATTGAATGGGTTCTGTTGTGCGCTTGGGATATTAGGGTTGACGCTCTGCGGAGAATTTTGCTGCTGTTGACTAGTTCTCCTCTCGTGATTGTAGTACAGATCAGTTGGCTCGTCGTTTCCCGAATCTTCGTCATCTGTCTTCTGTTTTCGGAGAGCACACACACACGCGATTAGCATCAACATTATTAACAACATGGAATATCAATTGGTACTTTTGAGGAAAAAGAATTTATCGTACCTCACTGAAGATTGGCACCTGGAGCAGATCAACGTCATTTGGGAATAGAAATGCGTGACATGTCGCGCAGACTGGCTCCTCGAAACACGGCCCATAATATCCATTACAAATATAACATGCGGTTGTCTGCAAATCAAAGTCTTACAGGTCACATACTTGCGTATACAATTTGTTGAGAGATTGACGTATAACGATAGAAAAGCTACGAGATAAGGATTTGGACTTGGTCAATCTGTTATTGATGAAAACCTAAAAATGTTCTAATAACCAAGTCATAAGAGAATAATTGCCTCAAGAGTTAACCAAGTCGTACGATTAAGTCAATAAACTCGTCGCGTAGGGAAATAGTTTACGGATGAGTGCGGATGTGAATGCGTGCCATACAATTGCTTTTACGCAAAATCGCACGCGACGCGCTGCGAAATCGCGCATACCGATGCGAAACGTTGGCGAAATACGGTAAAATACGGCGAAATACGGCAAGATACGGATCGAAGGGTAAAGGGAGGGAGAGACGGAGGGGAAGTCGACTTACCGAGAATTGAAATTCGGGACAGGGGACGTATTCGATCGACTCGACGAAATCGTCCTCCAGGTTCAGACTGAGACTCAAGTCACCATTCTCGCTTATTTTCTCGCCGTTACCGTTCTGCGTGCAGTCAACAATCTTGTCGCCCGCCATTTTGTAACAATCGTTTGCGATTGTGCCGTGCGGAATTGACGCAGTGCTGCCAAGCCGACGGCAGCAGCATCTAGATATTCGTGTGCGATGGATGATGGGAGGGGGCCATTTTGATTACTAGCCAAGTTTAATTGGACTGATGGAAAACTGCGTTTTAATTATAGGTCTGTTCTTTGTAGGCTTAAAATAATAAAATTGAAAATGCAATTATACCACGTTCTTTTCCCATCCCATTCTCCATATATTGTGACAGTTATCCAAAGTCTAGCTCTTCTCAAAACTTGTCATTTTAAACATTTTTGAAATCATGACTTCTGGAAATCTCTTAGAAAATTTGTGCTACCTTCTTGCCGGTTACATTCCCCTTTTTCGCTTTTTCGGGAAATAATTCTCCGAAGTATCAATTACATTCTTGGAATTTTAGACAGTGCGACCTTTTTGCTGATCATGTTCTCCTGATACTTTAGTGTTTTCGAGATATTACATCAACATTAAACCAATATTCTTAAATATTGGCCAATGCACTTCCAATATAAATCTAATATTATACAATTATTGTCGTGCAATATTTACATTTATTCCATAGCTTTACGTTGGACAATATCAGCCAATGCATTTCTAATATAACTAATATTGGAGCAATGTTAAGCCAATGCTTAGCCAATGCACTGTGCTACATAGGACCTGTATAAAGGATTAAAAATGGGGAAAACTAGACCAAGAGTTCAATTTCCGAAACGTAATGTTACTCTGTTTTTATTCTCAATTCTTTTTGTAGAAGCTCCCGAGATGAAAGAGAATACGAAAGTCCTCTTTTAATTTTTACATATTACAAAAATAGGATGGATTAGATCTGCTACTGCTATATCATGTACGTAATATCACGAAATACGAATGAAATATAAGCGGAAACGCTAATACGTACTAAATATATATGTAACATATGAATAGCGTTGATAATTGCAACGCTCGTCAGTTCTTTGAAGCGGACAAATATTTTGGGATATTACAATTTTAGTCAACAAACGTTAAATTTGAAGACGAGCGAATGAAAAATATGTTTCTATCATTTTTACATACTTTGCAATATAATGAGGTAGTGGAAGAGTATATTGTATTTCACTGCTTAATTTTCATAAATTTCATTTCCTTTCCTTTATCCAGAATTGTATAAATGGCGACAGATTTCAGCTGTCATACTGGTTGCTTATCCGCGTTAGTTAGGGTTTGGTCACTAGGTCGAACTTCCATATTTTGTTTGGTCCGATTTCTGACACGTAAAGGGCTTTACCGTACGGACACACGGCGATGGCGTGGGGCGTTTTGAAATACTGAGGAAAAAGTACAATATATATGTTACTTTTTGTCAAAATGGTAGTAAAGTATTAAAACAAATTTTTAGTATTAGCACTGCGCGAAATTCGACACTCTGATTCTCAAAAGTGAAAAATCAACTATATCAATTATTACATCGAATTACTTACTGAGGATTCCGGACCCCAAAATCCGGTTACATTCTGTTTTATGGGGTCGATGGTGAAACCTTCAATCGGTATGTTTCTAGCCGTCATACCGTTAACAGCGTAAATAAAACCATCTAAAATTATCGACAGGACATAATAAGGACATTTATCTTTCTTTATCTCTTTTGGTCTATTTTATATGTAATAAACTTTTTAAATGTATTTATTAAAAATTATATTAGAAAATTATACACGAAAAATTGTAATTACTTACGGTACGACGCAATTCCGAATATTCGGCCAAATTGCCGATGACGGATTGAATAGAGAGGTTCCACATTTTCACTCAATCCGGTAAACGTCAAGCACACAATTCTCCAATTTTCGCGATCAGCGACACATATTTGTCTATTTGGCAAAATGGTCAAGGCATGCGGGATTCTGAAGCTAATCCACCCTAAAACCGCGAGTACATATATATTATTTAAACGCATAAAATAAAAATCTATGTCCCCTATTATGAGATAGACTTGTAATGTGAGATAGCAAGAACGTTTTCAACGTTCAAATTTAATCACAAATTCGTTTTTCGCGACAATTACACAATCTAACAATGAGTTTTCCATTAAACAGATTACACTTCAAAAGCAATAAATTCAGGGTGGAACCAATAAGTGCTTAATTCAATAGAAACTACTCTATCTCATATTAAGGACTTGTTTCATAATAGGGGACTCCTCTATATTCTTACAAGAGAAATGTGTTTTATATTATACTTTTCAGGATTGGTACAAATAAATATTTAAACATTATGGACATTATTAACATTACTATTAGCAATATTGAACGTACTTTCGTCGGTAATAAATAAGGGTTTGCCTCTGTTATCAAATATTAGTAGCCTGTTATTGCAATATCCGTCAGCTACAACGACCTCACCACTCGGTAAAACCGCGACCGAGGTTGGTTGGCAGAAATGTCCTATGTCGCTTCCAGGCTCGAATCTTTGACCGAGAACCAGTTGAAGAACGCCGGAAGCCGAATACTAGAATTTATATGGATAACATCTGCCTATGATATTTTTAACAACTAATAAAGGATTGATTAAAACATGCTTTAAGAAATTATTGCTAAATAAGTTCTTATTGATTTCTCAGTTGTTTTACTTGTCAATATAATTTTAATACATGTGCGTAATAATTTATACAGTTATTAACAATAAAAATATATTTGTCATCTGAGTCCTCTTATAATTATAACGCAACGTTTTATTCATTTGACGGCAAGATTTAGGATTCTATTTTCTTAGTTTGTTTACAATAAAGATCATTTGCGTCTTAAAGTGTGGATTTTCCTCTACATACCTTGAATACTTGATGGAGAGCAATATCAGTCAGCCATATGTTTCCAAAGGGATCGACATGAATTCCATGCGGTAAATAAAATGTTTGATTTCCCCAACCATGAATAATTTCGCCGGTTTTCGAATCCAACGTTAATACTGTGTTATCACGAATGGGACCTTTATATTTCTCTTGATACTCTCCATCCTCGTTAAAAGTGCTAAAAATTAATACGTTATAAGTTAAAAGAATTGAACATTTAATTAATCAGGGACACAACTTATAGTTTGCCAGGAATAAATAAGACGTGAAAATTAATTGAAATAAAGTTCTCTTCGAAATTAACTATAATTATTCATCACCTTTTTTAATTATAAAAGATATACATGTAAAATAGTATTATATAGACAATCCATGCTTAAATAGTGTAGCAATTGTTACTTTTTTAGAAAGCATGACATCTAATTGTTACGCCTTTGATTGTCATTCGTTAGTTTATTGATGACTTACTCATAATTCCACGATCGATCTCCGCGATGAAAAATCACGAGATTGCCTGTCGAGTCCACCGCGACTCCGGAAACCTCGCCAAGATTTTCGGGATTTCGCCAGAAACGATTTTCAACGGGATGCAACGGTGCGTCGTAGAACTGATCCTGTGTAATAACGACAACAAGAATAATTATAAATTTATGAATATGTTAAACACACGTAGTAAAAGGTTCTAAGTTTCCACACGCTTGAATGTTATTCCATTATTGCAACGTGACAATGTATACATGTAGAGGAAAGTCCCCTATTATTAGACAAACTCCTAATACGAGGTAGCAGGGTTTCTGCTAAATTAATAGGCATCATCTGTTGGTTCTACCATGAATTTATTGCTTGGAGTGAAATGTGTTTAGTGGAAAATTCATTGTCGGATCGTGTAAACGTTGAGAAAAAAAGATTATGATTGAATTTGGATGTTGAAAGCCTACCATCTCATATCAGAAGTTTATCTCATAATAAGAGACTTTGCTCTATACATACGTGAGAGTGTCGGTAAGGAACTTCGAACCCGTTGAAGTTACTTCCATCGTCGAAGCCTCTATCATTGATATTAGCTATAACACCTTTAAGTATCACTATTGCGAGCACCGAGAGAACTCGAGAAAATCGTTTTCCTTCATCCGCCATTGTGCCTCTGCTCTCCCATAAATCTCACAGTCTAAACCGAGGAGTTGAATGAATCGATAGCACGCGCAAGCGCTCGTCGAAGTTAAATTGTCACAACTTGGGAATATATAGCCGTAGAGAGATTAGCGCAACAAGTACGTAGAAAGTGATGAAAGATTCATCAATCGTCTATAATATGAATAAGAGAATTCAAGATTTAGATACTTGGACTACAACTAGCTCGATGACAAATTTTATTTTACCAGTAAAGATAAAGAGGGAGAGATATAAACTTAAAAAAATGATTTCACTATAATTGGATCATAGATCGAAATAAGACAATCCGTCACCCAGTAATATCACTATTATAGTACAAAAGGGATTATAACAAAACCAGTTGACAACTAATAATGTGACATATGATAGGATTGAGAATGTATATTGAGGATATTTAAGATAAAGTGGAGAATAATTAAGATCCTTCGGTAAACAAAATAAAATTATTATCACCTCTCCTAATTATTATATATCCCCTATTATTGTACGGTATAATAAACTAATTTTATCAACTAATGTCACAAATACTAATATAAGAAATATAACTAGTATAGCTTTTAACGTAATTCGTATTATAACTAACAATAATGTTTAATTGTTTGTCCATTGCGTTGTTTATCCGACGGTAGCGATTACCCCACTTTAACTTGAACGGAAATATTTTGTACGAGGTTGTATGTACGAGGAAACAAACGGTCGCAATTACATCGACAAACAGAAAATAACAAGTCGAATGCTGACGATTGGTGAGAAACAGCTGTTGTGCCAAGTGTCGTTCGAGATCAACTGCGTCTACTCCAGGATCTCGAGGAAAGACTCGCCGGTACAATCAGACAGGTGGGCGCCGATCGATATTTGCGCGCAGGTGTCCTGGTTACCGTCCCAGGAAAGTGGGTAGAAACGCCGCGCGCCTGGTGATCGTATCCTGGAAACCATTGACGTCAGAGTTTTTATCTGTTCGCAGAGCAATCAATAACTCTCTGTAATCTGTAGCATTGTTTGGTCCAGGCACGCACGTGGCACTGTATGCGGTAGATTTAAATTAAATGGAAGAGCATGCAGCTGTTAATTATAACATTATATCGATTACCTGATACAGGCTGACAAAGGATTGTACTCGAGCTGTAGCTTATATCCGAGCTTCAGCCTCATCACATATTTATAAACAGAATTATGAACCAAGGAAAATATTAAATGGTATATACAAAATTTTGCATTATGAGAACTGAAGACAAAATTAGCGCTTTAACGTTAAACATGTCAAAGTTGGGTAAATTATGTCAAATGAATCTGTGGAATAATAAGTGGATTAATCACAAATTACACCATTAGAGCTTTATTAATAGTGATCACAACAAGTTTATATAACACAGTAATTATAAATTCTTGGCAGCGTAAGTGTTCGTCGATGCGCTAATGTGAATCAGGTTGCTCTCTTCCAAATGTTCACATTGTTCTCTTTTCAATATCATCCTTTGAACATTACAATATTCCCGTCTGTGCCCTAAACAAAGCTGCTAATAGAAAATTACCTTTGGAGCAATCGTGTCATGTGTTAACCGGTGAATAAATCTGCGAAACTCTTGCGAACGCCGATTTTGATTTTAAACGGGAAGTGTTTGATTTCTTTCGCATGGCCATCCCTGTGAAAAACCATATTAGTTAATACTAATTGAAAATAATTCATTTCTGAAACCGTACTGTCAGAAATGAGCGACCGTTGAAAAATACTCCGATACTTGTTGCGATTTTCAGTATAACGAAATATTAAACGTAGTAAACAAAATAGAAAATAATTGACTTTGAGATAAATTAATTGCAAGATAATTATTTAATATGCAGAATGGCGAAAAGTTGTTGGCAATAAGAAAATGCATACTATTGATTAAAAGCGAAAGATGATTGTAATTTTACTCACTTTATTTTGCGGCTTTAGAAAATCGATTCTTTCTAAGTCACCTATCTCTTTCTTCGCAGGGTTGTTACTTCGTAGCGTCGTTTATTTATCGATTTCGAGGCTTAACGATGTTTCTGGTTGGGTCCATATGTAGCCTGTGCGTGTCATGCTGCAGTGCGCGTCGTAATATCTTCCTGGTGCACGACAATAGGACCATCTCGGGCAGCGACACCGGAACTTGCTATGAAATTCTTCCTTGCACACCTCGTTCCACCAGCAGGTCCTCTGAGAATTCGTCAGAATTCGTTGTTTTAAGTACGAGAATAAATCACTTTTATTTGATAAATAATCCATTTTATAATTGGATAAAATATAAAATACTTATTTCTAATCGCTTACTTCCGCTAGATAGCCCCTTACACTTTGGTCACTGTAATTTCTCTTGGTAATTATGTGCCTGGCGGTCGCCGAATAAACCCTCGTGCATAGCGCAAGTACCAATAAAAAACATAATGTAGCTCTGTCCTGCAAAGGATTAGCATACAATTTAGGCTGTATGTGAAATCCGAATAAAGCTAATCAACACGTTCTTCATTTTAAAAACAAGATATTACTTTAAACAAAATTTCATCAATTTCTGCCAAAATTTATTCTTTCTTCTTTTAGAGAATTTGATTTACATTTTCTCTCGACGAATTCTCAGTTTGCTAAATTATAATCTCTACAAACAAATCGTTCCCTCAATTATCTATCACCTGGGTGATGCTTCCAATGTTTTGCAACGTATGCCGCGTGGCGAATTCACGTACACTTACATTTTCCCTCATCTCTGCCTTCGTCTCGCGTGGAGCAACAACTCTATTCTCGATTCCGGGTTACATGCGAGAAATGCGCGAGCTGCATTTCCTCGCCGCGGTGTCACTTGCAAGGCATCATCCCTACGCGATGCAGTTCCTGAGAGGATGACGTCGCGGGGCATGCGTACGTCCGTTCGGTACTCGCTGACACCATTAAGGGTTGGGTCAGTCCTCTCTCTCTCTCTCTCTCCCTGTCTCTCATCTCGTGGCGATCGATCGAGCGCTTGTGACGTACGGATAATGCGATCTCTTGGAAAAAGCCGAAACGACATACACTGAAATAATAAAATAGAATTAAGATATTGCAAACACAAATATATTGTATGAGAATTAGAGAAAGACAAGAATTTAATTGTAACAGAAGTACATTCAGTTGCTGCTTGAGACTTATTTCCAAAAAGATGTCAAGCCTCACCAGCTCTTTTAGGATTTTTCTTTAAAGAAAAGATATATACTGTAAATACACGTTAACATACGAGGAGCTGCGTATAGCACAGTGTTTCAAAAAAGCCCGCCAGACTTTCGTCACGCCGCGTCACGGCCGCGAAGCAAACTAGGTTTGCCGACAGTCGCTCCAAGTTGTTTCAAGTTGCTCGAAGTCGTTCCGTATGATCAGCTGTTTCGTATCCGATTTGGCGTTTCTTGTATTTTTGCGAACGGAATGGCGTCCCGCGCATTACTGCAACAGTGTGCGAATGGAATTAGCAAGAGTAGTCCTAGGTACTATGCTTCGTTAACTGTTTTAAATAAATGGTGATAAAAAAATTAACGGGACATAACCTTGAAATTTTACATAACAGATCTATTAGAGTTGTGTTAAATTGTACTGTCGTTTTGATGCATAACATATTAACTTGTGACTTTCTAAGGATCTCTTGATGTGTATTGCAAGCAAATTGTAATTCACTTGTCAATTAATTTTTAAACCTTGGAGAATCGACGACAACTCATCTCTATTACAATGTATCTAAATTTTCCTTTTGCGTTGAAATGAGAATGCAATAATTGACGCGACGGTAGCTTGTAAGGGATTACTTAAAATACGAGCTTATGATTCGCAAGTTCTAAAGAAGCTCTGTATTGTAGATTGAGCAGGTTATTTGCAAGTAAACGCTCAGACGTAGAAAAGAAACCTGACTTGGCGCAGCGCAAGAATCTCCAGGAGACAATACAGTCGCCAGAGGAGGCAAAATATTTACAAGCCTTAAAGAGCACAATTACCGTAGCTGAGGAGGATGTTGGTTACGTATCCGGCGTGCCTGAGGAGCATATCAAGACACGCAAAGTACGGATTTATCAACCTGCAAAGAGCGCCATGCAATCGGGAACGAATAACATTCACTTTTGGCAAATGGACTTTGATACACGGGAACGTTGGGAGAATCCATTGATGGGCTGGACTTCCAGGTGAGTGTTACTGTTTCACATATATAGAAGTTATAATACAGAGTATATATGAGCCACTTATGGTGATGTATATGTGTTTATGCATTTCTGATGCAGTGGAGATCCTATGTCAAATATCAAAGTTGATTTCGCGACGAAGGAGGAGGCGATCGAACACTGCAAGAAGATGGGATGGGATTATTATGTGCAGAAACCGAATGTTAGTCAGCCAAAACCTCGTAGCTACGGATCCAACTTCTCCTGGAATAAACGTACCAGAGTGTCAACTAAATAATCTACCAGAGTTTCAACTAAATAATATACCTTCCTCGAGCAAATCACTCGTAAGTTCATGTACGAGTATAAACTACTTGTAGTCATCTAAAGCAATCCTGAAGTAAAATATGTATCATAATGCAAATAAATGTATATATATATATATATATTTAGTGCGATGTATTTCGGTTAAAATTTGACGTATTTCTCTTGCCTACTCCTCACTGCTTCAATACATTAAATAAATTTATTTACATTTTGGCATGTATGTTACACTTGTTTCTAGTAATATCGCGGGTACTTTTGACTCTACACGAGAGATTATTTAAGTATTGAGGAAGATCATGGGCGGAAACGACGCATGTTTCAGCGAAGACAACAACAGCCCGATAACATTTTAACATTTCTAATTATATTTCGTTTGTATTATTATTTATAATTATATACTACAATATTGTTAACAACGTTGTGTATTGACGAGTTTGCGCGCCTTCGAGTCAGGCGGAGCGAAATGAGAAGTATCGTACAGTATGCATTCCAATTCAAGACTGATTTAAAATTATTGAAGACCATGTTAAAAGTCACGGTATCGCATCGATAATGCGAATCTCCCTTCGAGTCCGTTGCATCGATGCATTCTGATTTTGCACTCTCGCTATGGTCAACTTTCTTCTCTATCTAAAGAACATATTGCAATTATCACCGTTCCTTCCAGCCAATTGTGTCTGGACGTAGAAGAAAAAAGCTCAGAAGTTTAGCATGTATCGATGGAACAATGTTACAAGTTAAAAAAGTGGCAAATTATACTTTAGATGTATATCGATAACGATTAAGAGGATAATATAATCTCTCTTGCTTAACTTTACAGACGATCCTCAAAAGAGATTATATTTGAGGGTGAGTCGCCAAGATACTTTGCGTAAAAAATTTTCGAAATTTCCTTATTATTAACGGCGATCGCTTTACATCGAAACATGTCATAATCTGAAAAGGAACAGGAAATTGCTGTATTAGTTGACCGAGGCCGTTGCTGCATAACGGATCCTCAATAATTAAGACATAAAGCGAAGGAAAAGATGTGCGCAATCGTATCTCATAAGAGCTGAATATGAAAAATGGCTTACGAGGTTATTTTATCGGATAGAAAAAAAGGTCGCATGAGAACAACTACAAGAAAAACAAAGTGTTAAAGCGGAGAGAATCCTTAAGAGAAATGTTTATACACCGTTAAATCGTATAAAACATTTTACGGTATCTCCCCCTTTTCTTCTGAGAGGCAGGGTAAATTAGAGCAAGTTTTATCAATAAGATTTATTTGAAGAAATTCAATTCTAAATCGCTAATTTAGAGAACTATTCTCTCGCAGCTGAATTTCCTCTAAATCTTTCCGTCCTCTTTGCAGTGAAGAACAATGGTCACTCTTTATATTCTTTCACGAAGCGTGAGTAAGAGACACAGTTTTAACGAAACCACGATATCGCTGTCGATATTATTGGTGTTGAACCATAAAATATTTTAAATTCATAAACTCAATACAAGTCCGACGTGTTCTTAATAAATTCGTTACATGTGCATTTCTTCCAGCATGTCTTTCATAAGATGATTTTTTGTTATTTTGAGTTTCTTTCACGCGGAATAATTTTTATTTATTTCTGTGAAAAATATGCGAATCAAAACGAATCACTGAAAATTTCTCTCGTTTTTCATTTATAATTACAATCGTTAGATATAATTGTGTTTTATGAGTGTGATGATTACAAATAGTTACATATTAATCCTAACCGGCTACTTGTTTGGTATCGAATCCTTTTTAACAAAATATAATCTCGATCAAGGCGTCAGAAGTTAGCCTTTCCTTCGATTGTGCTCTTGAGCATCGAGAGACTTGCATAGAAATCGAAAAATATTACAAAGAACTTTAACAAGAATTTTGAAACTATCAGTTTTTAATAATGAAGATTTCCAAAAGTCCAAGTTCGCGCACGCAAATTTCAGTTCATCCTTTTAGATTCGCCTACTATTTCGCGAAGACGCATCTCTGAGACGACATCGGGGACCTGCGATCGAGAGCAACGGATTAATGGGTGTATCTAATATATGTATAACATTTTAACGTTTCGAAGAAGCAGCTGCTTTATTGAGCAGCTCTCCTCGGGTATTTTTTTTGCAGAGAGACCTCGCGCTTACATCCCAATCAGATACTTTAAAGACACTAACGGCTTATGTGTATATACCCTATGTAATTTGCCCTGTGCAATTATGTTATCTGAATATACAATTTGTATTTTTATACGTAACTTGCGATAGAGAGATCATCCCCTTGTTTCCGGTTTTGGAACTCGTCGGCAGGCGTAGGTCCTCCGATCAGAACGACCCCGATCTCAAGCAGGAAATAGGCGAGGGAGGAACTGATTCGAGAAAACACACATAGCAAAGCTTCCATCCCTGTACATTCTTTCTCTCTCTCTCTCTCTCTTTCTTTCGCACTCGTGATCCTAAAAACTACAGCGATATTGTAACAGCGAATATAAACCGCCGTCTCACTTTATATGCATATGTATATATTTATATATGTATAGTAATTATCGTATGCGTACGGTATGTTTTACACATACACATGTAATATATGTACACACACATATGCTATATACATGTGTATATGTGTAGATACATAGAATATATACATATTAGTCGTTCGGTAAGCAGTATTGCATTTTTTTGAAAGATTTTCTAAAAGAAGGAAATAAGGTACAATTTAAAGGACAATTTACATTTATAAATGTAATACAATAATAAACACTTGGTTCCACTATTGTCTCTCTGCAATCTTGAAGCTAATGTTTCAGTTCTATTTCGACAAACGTGTTCAAACACGTCTAATATAAAGAAAATAAATACATTACTTATCGAATGACTTAATATATACATACGTGTTAGTATACATGTGTATGCATATGTGTATGTTAGTGAGTATGTGAATATATGCAGACTTGAGCGTAACGTGATTATTCAAAAGGCTAGTCGTTAGGGTTCTAATATGCGGGACATGATCTCTCCTGCACCAGGGCGAAGCCACCCCCGCATGATTGTACAGTTCGCCATAGGAGACGCGGCTCCCCGAAAGAACGGCATTTGTATACGTTCGATCTGTTCCGTTGTTCCATGATGGAACAGTATATCTTGCAGTTTTTCTCGTTCTACCTATGTATATATGTACAAGCGCGTATGCGGGTCACACACGGGGCGAGAGTCGCACGTTTCTTTCTTCCTCATCTCCGGATAATTATTTGTCGCTATCAAGACAGAACGCTGCTATTAAAACTAGCATTCCGACTACAATCGAATTTTCTTTTTCTCGCACGCTCTCCCCCGTATGTGTGCATATATAATTTGTAATTGACGTATGTTTTCATCGTGTATATATGTATACGCCTCGTGAAAACTGGTTCGCGAGGATCCTGAAGACATTCAACGAATCTCCGCAAATTCACCGAACTTCCGAATCGCCAAGACACACTCCACGTTTTTAAAACTCTCCCCCAGAAAAAAAAACAAAGAGGACGTTCCTTCATTCATCGCCTTTCTTGTCTTTCTCGTGCGAATAAAATTATTAAGCTCGCCAAAAGTGCTACAGCCTGATTAACGTCGTCAGATACAGCAATACATCGTAATAAAATGCTACTCTGGCCTAATTAATTCTACGTAATCGCGAGTCGCCGTTCGCAGCAGCGCAGATATCCGAGGGATACGCATGGATGTTTTGTCGAATGCTTCTTACGATCCATTTAATACGTGAATACAATTTTACATGTAAGATCTCGGTTCACGAATGTACTTTCTTACAACTTCCCAACGTAATTATTTTTTAAACAGTTATCGAGATCGCGTGAAAGTATTCGCAAGTGATTTTCAACCAAATTACACTTAACATAATCGGCGATTACTTGTACTAATTAAATTACAGAATTATTTGCAACGAAATTCCTAATTATATAACTCGTCTCCAATTTAATCTTTCTTTTCGTGTTTCAACCTTTCTTAATGTATTAAACAACATAAAATTAATAATTTTATATTAAAAGTATTGCTCTCGACCGATTCCTGTACCTGTCAATATTTCAGGTAAAGCTTTTTCAGACTTTATCATAGGGGATTAGATAGCAATGATAAAATCTTTATTTTCGGTTTTTCCGAAAAAAATCCCTCGTCACCTCATCTGACAATGTCCCTTGTCAGTAAGCGAAACGGAAATAGCGTTTGACATCGCGAGATATCGAATGTCCAAGGGATACCGATCAGATATCTGCGTTGTGCGAGCCGGAATTCCGGCAGTCCGATGCCCGATCGCTCGGTCGCTAATCGATAATAGGCACTATAGGTCAACGTGAGGTTGTGACATCTCGGCAGCAACATTCCGCCTCACGAAGGGGGAGAACGTCGAGGGGGACGTAGGTTTCGGTCTCCTTATCCCGGAATGACGAGAAATTTCCCGAAGGGTTCATAACACAATTCGAAATGTAATGTCTACCTAAGATAAAAATACTCTCTTAAATCCAATCAGTGGGTTATCACTGATTGACTTTAAAAGAACACGGCCTGACCCCCTTAAAATAATTCGTTGTCCGTGGAAATTCGAACGTGCGTCCTCTTCTCTCCTCTCCCCCGCGTTTGTCCGAGAGATCTCTAATGAAATATAGCGAAAGTCCCCACGTGCTTTTTCCTTCGCGAGAGATAGTGTTCCTTTACGCGAACAAAGAAGAGTCCTAGGTGTCAATAAAAAAAGTAATTGTAAAAGCAACATTTTCTAAGAGCGACATTTCACGATTCGCCGTTTTAGTCTCCCGAAAAAAGGAATATTGTAAGATCCAATGTGCGCGTTTATTTCACTAATTTAATTTATAGAAATTGGATTAATTTTTGCAGGAATATATGAAAGAACAGATTGTACCAAGTGTCCATACAAAAGTATAAGGAAATTGTCGTCATAAAGATAGCTCCTTGATAGCCTTTGCTGAGGACACATTCTTTTTATTAAGTATATATAATATTTGCAGAGGAAAATGCAAGCTGAGGAAAGAAGTTTGTACAAGGCGTAAGATGTTCATAGAAAATGACGAAAAGAATGTTCCAGAGGAATCTATGATGACGAAAATGATACAATAGAAGGAATTCTCCAAAGGAATCTGTGATGAAAAGAATGCTTCAAAAGAATATATGATTTGTTGAATTGAAGACAATGTTAATAAGATTTCAGAGACTAAACCTAGAACCGGTCTTGCGAGAAATTCTGAATATCAAATTACATTTTTCTGAACAAGAAATTTCAAGGATAGGAATTCAATAATCGCGGGGAATTGTAGATGATCTCTTTGCTGTTATAAAAAAGCAGATTCATCTTGCGGATAGTAATAATTTGAGGTCCGTGTAATCTATTTTCACACTATTAGGCAGGTATCACACAAATCGAGATTGTATTTGAACGAGATGAAGAGATCTCTGTTCATTTTAGTTAGACCTGCGATCGGCACATAATCGGATACGAGTATTAAAAAGATTATTATTAATATTCGACAAAATTCGATTACTGAAAACCGCTATAAAAGCCGCAGATTCGGTTTTACAAAGAAGATTTGATAAAAGAGTACGCGCTACGTGTTCGCTGCTCTTAGAAAGTTTATAGAAATCGCGTGTAAAATTCGATATTACTATTTAGGAAGCTATCTATTTAAGAATTTTAGTAAAAATTAATGCTGAAGATAAAACCGAGTATCTAGTTAAAAATTTGATTGTTAAAAGTGATTTCCGACAGTAGGAATTGTTGAAAAACTCTTTTTAAAAATATGCTTGAGAATAGAATTGAAACTGTTACTTGTTTAGCACTGATTAGTACTAATAAAATTGATTCTCTTTAGAATACTGTTTTTGTTAAAATGATTAAATCAACGCCCAATTACAAAACTATCGAATGTCAAAGTTGTACAACAAGTAATTTGTTACGGCATTTTGTGCAATATTTAAATACCTCGAAGTTCTAATGATACGGGCAATCAACAGAGTCGAAAGAGATAAAAGCACCGCCAATTAAAATGTGAATGTGTACGAATGATGTATTCACGTAATGATTTTTATGCGTACAACGAAAACGCGTCTATTCAATTGAATAGTTATAACAGTACGGTGTTGCAAATGCATATAGGATATTTGAGAATTGAATGGAAAGTAATTATATAACATTTTTATATAATCATGCATGTGATTGCATAATTCTTATTTTGTAAAAGAATTAAGACTTGATTTTTTCTGAACAAAAATTTAGATATATATATCCTCCAATTTAGTATAAAAATTAAATTAGAATTAGGAGTATTTCACTTTAAATATAGGTAAATAATGCTTATTATTTCTTCAACTCTGATTTCAGAAGCTGTAATGTTAACGGATTTTCTTTCCGTCGTTAGTTAGAGAGGCCTTGCTATTATTATAGAAAAAGAAACAAAATCCGAGTATTCTGGTTATGATAAAAATCACCGAAGGAAGCTACATTATTTTCATCTGTGTTTAGTTCATCTTTTTTCAATCCTCCTCGCCGTTAGTGACGCGATTAATTTATCCTAAGATTTGAGGCAGTACTCTTTTTGTATACCGATAAAATTCGTTCTTCGTAGCAAACTCCGGGCGACCTGCATTATCTACGTCCTAACAATCTAAGTTTCCCTCTTTTCTTCTTCTGTCCGTACAATAGAGTCGAATGTGCCCAGATTTGGTCCGACCACCCTTAATTACGACATAAGAGACAAGGATCACGACGATAGAAATGTTAGAGTTATAGTAAAAAGATTCCGAAAGACGCTAATCGAGAAACATCTATGTGCACGTGAATGCACATATCGACTCTCTCGATTATTGAAGCTACGTTAAATCAGTATTAAAAGCTATCCGGTCTGCGGATTTAATGAAATTTAATGGCAAAGCGCTGGAACGCTATTTCCAAACATTAAGCAGGTCATTGAAATTTAATTTTGCGATTTATTAGATAATTGGAAATTTTATAATTTTCCTCGAGATAATTACGGTCTGAAATATTATTAAATATTCCAATTATCTATAAAAATCCTGATATTTTTATGTATTCGAAAAGTTTCAGTATTTCTAAAATTCTCAATTGAAGTATCAGTGTTGGGCATATACGCATGACCTACGTATAGAATTCCCAAATTATCTTTTAACAAGCAGTTTGAATAAATAAATAATAAATAGAAACGATTCCTTATGTTTGTTTAATTGGACTATGTAAAAAGTGACAATTTAGACATTCTACCTGTATGTGATAGCTGTTTATGTATAGATACCCAACGCTGAGATTAAATAGTTAAATTATAAATAGCTATAATATTAATAGCTAAATTAATTTTTTGTAATTTATCCGAAGAAGCAAACGATGATAATTATGAAATATTCAAAGCATGCTCTTACCAGGGTAGCGTAACTTACTAGAAATAGTCGCTATCTTAGATGAAAGTATACCATGTTGACGGTTCGCGCTTAATTTAAAACAATTAATCAGTGGTTATTAAATAATGCATCCGTAAATTCAAGTGCACTCGTCAAAACGTTAACTGGCGTTAATCATTTTACACGAATCGTTTAGCCTAATGCTCTCGTAATGCTTCTTATTCCTCGCGATTAATGCAGTATTTTTCTGTCGACAAAACTACTAATTAAGATTATATTTGGGCCTTACATTTAATACTAATATATATGGCATAGATAAAATTGCTAATGTAACTAATGCGAACAATTTGTACATATCAGTATGATTAAAGGCGTCGAAAATCCGCACTTAAAATGTATTAAGATTTATATCTTAAAATGTTTTTGGAAAGCATTAAATTGAAAAATTTACGATAATATTAATAATGATTTGTCATTTGCGTCAATATGGATCTTTTTACGTAGCAAAATTGATAATGTAATAAACTGTTCGTTATTTATACTAACTACACTGACGCCTAATATTGCAATCAATTTTTTTACTGATATAGTAACGTGATAATCGTCCCATTGATTAACGCACTCGAAGTCGATTTGTCGGTAATAACAGCTCAGTACTCGAAGTGAAAGAAATAATATTAATTTTAGAGAATTCAGATTTCTTTACCAAGACCTTTTCTCAAGTTTAAAATGACGATTTTTATATTAATTATTATATTTTGAGGTCTCCTTGCACAACATTTTTTACAAATCAATGTATGCACAAAATCCCACAGATCGAGACCAGCTAATTTAAATTCGTAATAATATAATATTGTAATAAAATCTGGTCCTCCAAGTTGGGCGCTAGGCTAACAAAATTTGCCCTGTCAAAATTATTATTAAGAAATCTGAACCTCGAATGGAATGGTCGCTGCGACTGATTATGATTCTTGGGACACCAATTTTCAGGAGCATGGCTCGACTTGAGTATATTTAAACCGTATCATCGGAAGAAATATATTTTTACGTAAGTATGTAATAAAATTAATAAATTACTTAAATCCACTTCGAGAGAAGAACTGATGTCTTAACAAATTATGTTCCTGTTTCAAAAACGGCTACATCTGGTATTTCCGCTACGCTGGTAATTCATCCTTAAGTAATTCCTTCGTCGGGGGAACCCAGCATTACAGTGCACTTTTATCAAAAAGCAAGTGGTATCAATATGATAATCGATATCCAGGTTCCTCCGACGACATATTCCATCCATGCTTGCAACGGAAAAGTTTTTTTCAATCTCGTCCTTGTCCCTTTCTCCGTCTCTTAATGCAATGGCTCTCAACCGCGTTCTCTTCTTACGATAATAAAACAAAAACTCGCACAGCAAATTTTATCGTAATTATCTTTTTCGATATAATCTTTAAAATAATGAAAATTTGATTATTATTATTAGAAATAAGATATCTCTTATACCTGCAATTTCTCGACTAAATATTGCAATAAGATTAGCACTGAAATGTCAAATTAGCATCTTTTGTAATGTCTAATACCAATAATAATACGTATATTGTATATGCAACGACACACACACACACACATACACACAATCAGGAAGCATTCTCTCAAGTAATAATTATGCTGTGATTAATCCGAATGACATTTCTAATTGAGAACATCACAGACTCAACAAAATAATTCTTAAGGGAACGGTCATCGGAGTAAGCAGTCATATTAATTTCTCTTCTCGAATCGGCCAAGAACCATCGCTACAATGTCTCATCCGACACTTGGACAACGCACACGCACTCACATACATACTCGCATACATACACATACACGCAACATGCGCACGTGTCGCTCTCCGTCTCGAGGAGATTCGCACCGAAGAAGCCATGCGGATTATCGTCCTATCTAGAATTAGATCTGCGCTGTGTGAAAAGTCTACGTATATAGTATAGTTCTACGTATGTATTATCACTGAGTCGCGCCGCTGTCACTATCCGGCGTGGTGGCCGTCGACTAGGATCAGCTGTCGTCCGGCGTGTCCTGGTATTCCTCGCTCTCCCGGTGAACCAGCACGTGCACCACCGTCGCCTCCGACTGCTGCCTGATCAGTGGCGGCCTCGAAGGTGGTGCCGTGTTTTCCGGACTGGGCTCCGTCACCAAGATACTCACGTCACTACTCTCGATCGGCAGCTGCACCGGTTCCGGCGGCAGCGCTCGACGTCTCAGGCTGCCGCATCGTCGGTTGAACGCCTCCTTGATATCCCGCTGCAGCGCATTCAGCGAGAGAGTGGTGCCGCTCGGCCGCAAGGAGCTGCGCTTCGATGTCGGTGGACTGAGTACATCCTCCTCCGGATACTTCTCCACTGCGTCCTGCCGGCCCAGTGTAGGGCCCAGCGATCTAAGGGGCAGAAAGCGAGCCGCTGTTAACGTTTTTTACCTTTTGTACAGTGATATATTACTGTTCCTTAATACATGATATTTGCAGGATATATTATACAATTTTATTCTCTACGAACCCAATTTACTTCAAATATTACAAGATATTTAGAGGATGTCGCATGAGAAGGCAAATAATTATACAAATATTGTTCAACGTATATTTTTTGTGAAGAAAACTTCTGCACGTATGCCTGCAATTATAGAAAGCAATGTACGATAAATAAAACAGCAACGTGACATACTTCTTGCAGCAGTGTCGCTAAAACGTTGTTTTATTTATACAAAACTGGACTTTTTACTATGGGATTATTAAAAAAAGATACATATGTAACATGCAAAAAATTCGATTGCGCATCTCGAACGGAGAAAATGTTTTCTCCGAAGCCCGCTAGACTCAAGTATGACATAATGCTGATAAAATTTGCTAATGTTGTATCTAAATGCCTATTATGTACTACAATAATCAATGTAGTAACAATAATACCAAACTCTTTTATCCAGCTACATTTACAAATCGAAGCATGATAGTGAAATATAATCGTGTAACGGACTATTATGAGGATGTTGAATGTTATGCGCAACGAACTTCTATTATTTTCTAATTGCTGCTAACGTATTTACTAATTCGTTAAAACGTTGTACTTTTGCGTTTGTAACGTTATGGCATACTAGTTCCATGGCTATGAATCAAGTGACGAACAAATCTATGTATTTTCTGACGCAATACTTGAACCGCTAATTGAAATCTCAAGTCTCATCTCATATCACACACCATACAAATCAAACGCTAAAATTTGAGGAATTCTAAGTATATGTTCAGCTTTACCTGCTCGTTTTCTTGCCTGAGGAGTTTTGCAAGGGAAAGAGACTATATTAATTTTATGTGCACAGAGTGTGGCATATTGTCTAAAAATTAACTAAACGGTACATATTGGCAATTCATACAACTTAATGTGTACAAACTCCTCAGGCTAATACGATCGTGTGTATCTTATCCTTCACAATTGGTTGGAATTAAATTTGAAGTAAATATGTTCATAGCAATTGTCTCTTAGTTACTTAATTTTTCACATAGCATGAATCAATTCGCGAACTCATACATTTGTATTATCCAATTAGGAAAGCTGGTAGAGAGACGAGTATTTAATATTTAGTTCGTCTGAATTAATGCACAAATTGATCAATCTTAAACCATTTACTGTGATGAAATAATTATTTAACGAAGGAAACGGTTGAATAATTCCAACGATTATTTGCTACCGTGCGAGAATAAACCAACCTGACGGTAGCGTGAGAGTCAGAGCCGGAGCTGGAGGCAGCGGAGGGTTGATCGGCGGTTGGTGAGGGACGGGACACGGTCAGTGCCGGGGGTTGCAGGTCCTCGTGGGTTCCGGTGGCGCCGGAGAGCAACAGCAGAGGAAGATTCGGGAACAGCCACGCCGAAGCGGTGCCGAGTTCGCTGAGGTCGCTGGCGTCGCTGGCCCTGGAGGACTTGCGGCTACTGGCCCGGCTACCCCGGTGCACATGCAGCAGGGCTGACAGCTTACCGCCCCATCCACCCCCGCCCCTACCGTCCACGCCACCCGGGCTCGAAGTCTGCGTCTGCGAGTCCACCTCCTGAGCAATTCTCTCGCGCTCCTTTTTCATCCTGCGCGTACATCGAGACCATTTTACTATTTACTATTTTTCATATCAATTAATTGCGTATATATTTAATGAGGCATTTATTCTGCCAGTTTAAATAATTGTAATCACGTTATCAGAATTGTGATGGACACGAATTAGCGTGCTTGTAAACATATTAACAGATAAAAAATATCTACATATTGTTATTTATGATTACTCGTTGTAATATTATCGTTTTGAATTTTGATAGATTAAAATTAACTGAAGAGTAATTGCGTAAGAAGCTACTCAATTTCTACAATAAGTATCACATGTCCAATAAAAAGTTAATCATACTCACGCAATGTACTCTTTTATGGTACGTTGAATCAACCTGGCAGCTTTGTCTTGCCGTTTCCAAATCCTCGTGGAAGACACTATCTCAAGTTCTTTTCTGGTCGGAAACTGCTTCTTGAACTTGACGTCCATCTGTTCCTGCAGCTTCCTGAAGTCGTCCGATTCCTCAACGTGTCCAAGAACGTGCTTGACAAGCGCGTGTAGGATGTCCAGACAATGAATCTTGTTACCCTTTGCGATGGGAAGATTAAAGCTGACCAACGCTACCACGTTGGGCTTTGATATCCCCAGCGGCGGGTCTAGACTTGCTATAAAGTCGCTCAACTGCGAGAAGCTAATAAATTGCGTTGCATGCGGATCATACCTGGAAACAACAAAATATTTTAATAACTGTGATAAAATTATCATCGTATTATCTACCATTAAATCACCTTGCTACTAAATTTTTCAAGACATATGGTTGATTAATTTCGAATGGTTACATACACAACTTATCGGGTGAAGAATTCTTTCTTAAAATGAGTAATAAAGGGAATAATATAGGTATAGGAAATAGTAAAGGAAATCTTACTTCGACCATCGGATGTAGAACATCTCTAAGTCATCCTCGACGATGCCAATCTCCTCCTCTTGATGAGCTTGATTGAAATTCTCCAAGATAATGGCAATGTACATGTTGATGACTATCATGTAGCTAATGATGATAAATGATGTGAAGTATGTGATCGCTAGCAAGGGATATCCGCAGTCTCCGTTCATCTGTCGGCTGTTTGGGGTGGGATCGCATTCAGGTGGTTGAACCATCAGCGACTCCAACACATCGTTCCATCCGGCCGAAGTCATCAAACGGAACAGCAGCTGCATACTTCTACCAAAGGTTTCGAAGTTCACCTGCAAAGGAAGATGTTAAATTAAATAAATTATTAATCAGATAAACTAAAAATATTTTCTTTCTAATTCTAACTTTCTTTCATGATTTCTAACTTTTTAACATGAATTAATATGAAAATGATATAATAGAAACTGTAAGTTATGAAATTTAATGCTTTATAAATCTATTAAGAGAGTCTTTACCGGAAAGTATTTTAAATTATTTTAATTATTAAATTTAGTAGTAATAAATCGATATAAAACAGATATAAATAAAGTAATAAATGTACTAAGAAATAAGCATTTTATAACTGTTCACACTGACCATATCGTCCAATGCGCCTTGTTTCCTCACATGCCCGAAAACAGACATGCCAATGATGGCATAGATAAATGTAATCAGGGCCAGCAGAGCCCCGATGTTGAAGAGCGCTGGAAGACTGACGACAAGGGCGAAGAGCAGCTTGCGGATACCTTTCGCAGCCTTAATGAGCCTCAAGATTCTGCCAATTCTGAACACCCTCACGACTCGCAAGAGCGTCGGGGACACAGGAAAGTCTATCATGATGTCTTCCATCAGAATACCCAGGATGGACGCCATTACAAGTAAGAAGTCGAACAGATTCCACGGCACCGTGAAGTAATGATAACGCAGACCTATTATTTTGACGATCGCTTCCAGGCCGAAAACAGTCGTGAAAAACGCGTTCGACACTTCGAGGACGAAGAAGATGGGATGCGGCTGATTGTAGTGCTCGATCCCCATCGTCAGCATGTTGAGAAATATCAAAACGAAGATAGCTATTTCGAATCTGGAAAGTCATACGGAAGATCAGACTCAAGATTATAAATTGGCAAATCGCACGACAATTTATCATTCTTCTTGCAGTGTCAAAGCAGTGCATGCACGTTTAACATCTGTGCGGTGAAAATGACGTAAATAGTATTCGCTGACGGTACGTGGGACATTTAACTTTAGCATTCATTCCTTTTCATAACTAATCGGAAGATCGGTCTCGTGGAAAAAGGCAAAGATTGTACAACGACATAAATAATCTTCAGTCTATTTTTATAACAAAAATATGTGTTATTTGTAACGATGTCTATAAACGTATAACTGTAAGATCGATAAAAAATTTCAATTAAAGTAATAAGTTTTTCCATTCGTAATTCGTTGTGCAGCTAATTTTACATTTGCATGGATTTTACGAGAAGAAAGAGTATCTGAAACCTGCGTGCAGAATTATTAAGTTACGTTTACATAAGCTCTAGTAGCTTATCTCGTCTATTATGTACAGTTGTGTCACTATATACCGACATTGTGTATCTACAATTTAGAGGCGGCGAGCGTTAATGTCCTTTGAATATCGATTTCCCATTACTCCGAGAAACGGATTGTGGAGTCACGGCATTTATCTTCCGCGCTCTCGCCTCTCCTGGAAGCTGAAAAGAAAATTCATGCATTGTGTCACGGCGATTTGTATACATGTTACAAGCTACTCGCACAGGTCTGTGTAGAAAAATGTTACCGCACGAGAAATAAATACATGCAAACTATATCTATTCTATCGATATTAAATTCGGCTAAGAATACAGAAAAGAAATCTTGTGATTTGCAATATAATTCAGTGATCTTAAAAAGTTACACGTAATATTATTTAAGATTTTTACTTGGATATTTTTACATGCTAGTATAAAAATAATCCGGTTTGTACAAAAGTAAAACTCGCAACAAATATCTTGAAAGCTTTATGGTCAATAAAAATGTATACGTGGTATATAAAGGTGTTGAAAAAATAGATTAAATTAAAGAACTATTTCAAAATGTAGGGAGATATATCTTTTCTTACCTCATCTTTTCGCGATCCAAAATTGTCTTCTTATCATTGATAAATGAGCAAGTTGAAGATGAAGATAATAATAGTTTTATCGCCCCCAATACAAGAAGTCGTTGCTAAGCGCTTCTTCACTAAATCTTCTTTCTTCAGTTCTCTTATTTTTTATTTGTACACTTTTAACTATCGTTGATAATAATCTGCGAGAATCTATCTATACGATTCTGATCGCAAATCTCAATAAAATACATGGGAATCCTGTGAAACGTGCATCCAACCACAGTGGCGTGAGCAATGAAGAGGTGCGCAGTTGTAGTTTCGAAACTACTCTATTAATAACAATTTGCTGCACAGACATCTGTGCTTGTGTTAAATCGTTAACGTATAACCGCGCAAATTGCCGTAAAGGAATTTGATATATTTGGTAAAGTCAATTTCAAGAAACGGTAACAAGTATTTACCATTGTATATAAAATATTAATTAAAATACCAAAATCGAAGCGTAAAGGATTGCTCGCTGCTAACGATTTAATTTAAGATGTCTGTGAATTGCAAGGGAAATATACACCTGCCGCATTGCTCGCGATGCACTGCGATCGAATATACGTTGCACAGTACGACCGCCACATCGAACTCGCACGATACCATTTTACGTCGTTTTGACCGCACCATTTCTATGCATTCATTACGTTATATTGCAACGAATAATACACACGTGCATTCGATTGGGTTAAAGGAAGCCAGATTATCACTTTGGAACCAAACAATTGCCTCGATTAAATTAGATTTGTAATGGAAAAAATTAATATGCGAGGCACTAAACATATATACATATGCTAAGTTACATTACAATGACAATATCTTTATAAATATAATTTTATTGTTGAGATATTAACGAAAATTTGTATTAGATAACAAGATTTCAAAGAGAAAAGTGGTTTGAATTGAGTAACAATATTGTAATAATTGTAATAAAAAATGACTTTGTAAAAAGAACATTATGTCTTGACTAAAGTAACGAAGTTACGGATAAATAACAATGCTCCTTGCAGAGAAAATGAATTTTTTACTGTCACGAAATTATTGTAAAAAATTAAGTTGGTTGCCAAAGTGTTTTAATGACATTAATTTTTACGACCATCGACAGAAACAATTATAAGCGACACAATTCCTTGCGCAAAGTGTCAACGTGTTTCTCTTTGCCATAAAGCGTTATACAATTACCTGCGAGAATTAGATAGGTCGTAGAACATTGCGAGGAATTGGTTCATCGGACGTTTTATAACTTTTTGCGGCTTTTTACGACCGAGCTTTTTCATGGCAGTGTAGTAGTGTTTTTGACTCTCGGTCAAAAACATTTCTAACACCCCACCTTCGTACTGAAAAAAAAAATCGTTGTTTTATTATTCTAAAATTGAATAGTAGAAATCTTGTAAGAATCCGTAAAAAATAGATACGGATACTTTGCCATGTACATTAAGAAATGATATTTAATAGTAAGTTTTAATGCTTTTAAACTTATTATTTGATCATTAAAATATTAATGTTAAATAATTTGCATAAACAATTTGTCAATAAAATTCAATAAATAAAAACCAATAAAAAAATAGCGAAATAAACCATCTATCTTTCACGCGATAAAGAATGGAATAATATTAAAAAAATGTTAAGATTCCACTAGATCGTCGCTCACCTTTTTCTTCAGCATATTGAAATTGTCTATAATCACTCCAATGAAGAGATTGAGCGTGAAGAATGAACCGCAGACAATAAATATGACGAAATAGAGATAGGCGTATAGATTCGCCTCCCTCTGAGGTTGCAGATCCACCCCCCTCGCATCCACAGCGTCCTCCATCACTTCCATCCATCCCTCGAAGGTCGCCACTTGAAACAAAGCCAGGTAAGCGATGCCAACGTGATCAAAAGTGATCTTACTATTCTCCCAGGAGTAGTTCTTGCTGAAGCACTCCTCCTTGGTGTTCACTATCTGAAATCGAAATGATTGCGTCAGAAAAATGTAATGGTCAGTCTTGAATTAATAGTAAATCGTAGTGATTGAGTTAATATAATAAATCAACTTATCATTCATGAAAAACATTATTATCGTTAAGATTTAATTGTCATGATTAACAATATGTATAATTTATATAATGAAATTGATACTGGCGCATTATCATTGGATATTGAAACCAATGCTGCATCGTAAAAGCAGCATTGGTTTCAATACAACTAGTTTTCATTATATTTTAATATTTAATTGAAACATTATTTGTGTTACAGTGACCATAACAAACTTAGATCCGTATTTGGCTGAATATAATTTTGTCTCTTTTCGTGCCGTTCCCCCTTTTAACAATCAAATCAGAACGAGAAATAACACTCACCGAAGTATCCAGCATTTCTCCGTATTCATCGATGCACTTGAAGAACTTGCCACCGAAGAACTGGACGCCCATTATCGAAAAAATAAGCCAGAACACGAGACAGACGAGGAGCACGTTGAATATACTAGGTATCGCATACATCAACGCGTTCACTACGATCTGCGAGCCGGGAAGAAAAATCCTCTCAATGATACGCAACAACCGCGTTTGCATATTGTGTCTTTCGTGTTTCAAACGGATTTTCGTAGGTACAGTTTTTTTTCTGTACGATATTTACCCTCATGCCTTGCCATCTCGAGATCGCTCTCAGCGGCCTCAGAGCGCGTAGTGTCCTCAGTGATCGTAATACTTTAAGGTTCTCATTTTCTTCTATCAAAAGGCTAAACATGGATACCTGTTTGAAGAAAAGCCTAATTTAGCTACGACATTGTCGTTAAGTTTATATCAAGAAATTCATGCAAATTAGATTCTGATAAACTAAATTTTTAATAATGTGTTTGTACTTGACGTTTGCATATGACAATGTACGATAACGAGAGTAGATGGAGAACGAGTTAGAAATCATCTATAGATTTTTTAGAATAGTCTAATAAATATTATAAATACTTGCACGAGCATTTTAAAAAGTATATCGATAGTGAAGATATGATACGCGTATAAAAAATTTAAATAAAATAACATTTGTAGCATTGTCCCTGATTTTTAACTAAAATAATTCGGAAACTTCTTGTATACACATATATATACATACATGTATAATATACTGTGCAGTTGAATTACGGATAAATATTAAATAAAGGAATTCTTATGCAAAAAGTTGTAAAGAATAAATTGTGCAGGAAATTAAATTTACAAGCTACATTGAACAAGTAAACATGCAAACTACATGAAAAAAATAAGAACATTCATTCCTTTTATGTTTTTGATAGCACTGCATGTAATTCCAGTATCATAACGCATGCAGTGGCATCTTAAAACCCTAAT